TGCTCTTCCTTTCCTACGGCACAATGCCCTGTGAATAAGCCCTTGTCAGGAAAATCAAGCTTCGTGGTTTTTCACAGACACGTAAAGTGGACTTAGCTCAGGGGCATACACCACTGTTGGGAAGTGGGCAAGTTTGTCTTTCGGCACCCAAAAACCTCAGCATGCTGGGCCCCTCTCCTCCACCTGCCCTGACTTCAGCCCCACCGCTGCAGGCTGGGCTGCTCTCTGCTCTCCTCACATCATGGAAACCAGGCGTGGGGAAGGCTTCGGTCTAAACGGAATTTCAGAGGAGGGTGTGACAGTCCGACTCTCACATGACCACGTAGATTCTTAGCGTACAAGGTCACTGGAAATCTCACTCGGAGTAAATTTCTCTGCAACACCCACAGCCAAGAGACAGAAAAGGGGCACGGGGTCTCGACCCTGACCGGTTGCACGGGAACTCTGAAACTGTGCAGTCGGTGACGCTGGATTCCTGAGGGTGGGTGCTGTGAAGTTTAGAAACGACTTAGTCACTGTTGTTCTTAACTTCTATCCTTTGTGTCTCAATGTGCTTTTCTCATGCTTTATGCTCAAACCAGTTTTTGACTCTATCTGGTCAGTTATCAAATATTCATGGAACACCTACAAATGGCCAGGCACTGTGCAAAGCTGGTAAAAACATTTCTACCTCAAGGGGTTGAATGCGACAGGTGCTATATGTTAGAATCTTCTTCCCAAAAGAAACTTTTCACCTCCTATAAAAGAGTTTTCAAATATACCATAAACCAAACATCCCAAATTTTATTAATTTACAGTAACATAGGTTGTGCAATATTTTGCATTTGTTAACCTTTGTAATGCAGCATAATTCCACATTATCTTGGTGTTCCATGCTCTAAACTACTTGTAAGGAAAGAAAAATGTGAGAAGCTAAATATGAGAATGCTCATGTCTTCATAGATTTTTTAAAACAAAAAACATTTTACAGGCATGCATAAGAAAGCTCCAGGTGTTATCGATAGGACAAAGTTTAGGTTAAAATAAAGACATATAGGGGCCAGCCCCTGTGGCCTAGTGGTTAAGTTCGGTGTACGTTGCTTTGGCAGCCCAGGCCTGGTTCTTGAGCATGGACCTACCCCGCCATGTTAGTGGCCATGCTGTGCTGGTGGCCCACATACTAAAAAATAGTGGAAGACTGGCCTGGATGTTAGCTCAGGGAGAAGCTTCCTCAGCAAAATAATAAATAAAGACATATAGACATATGTAAACTAGCAAAGAAGTCAAAGTTTTGTTTTTGTTTTTTTTTTTGGTGAGGAAGATTGCCCCTGACCTAACATCTGTGCCAATCTTCATCTATTTTGTATGTGGGATGCCCCCACAGCATGGCTTCACAAGCAGCGTGTAGGTCCATGCCTGGGACCCAAACCGGAATACCCCAAGGCCGCTGAAGTGGAGCACGTGAACTTAACCACAGTGCCACCAGACCTGCCCATGAAGCAGTTTCTTTTATTATAATCCCTTTCTGGCTGGTAGACTTGGGCGTAGTTTCCACTGTCCAGATAGAGGAAGTTATGTAGCATAAAGGATGTGAGAACTCTTGAAGGATTGTTAATTTCTATTTTGAGGAGCAAATGTTAATTTTTTATATCAAAAGACTACTTAATAGACAAACGTTATTGAATAGTCATGTTTAACAGCTGTATTTATAGCTCATTACAAACCTGATTTCTAAGATTTTTTTTCCCTCTAAGGATTTAATTATGTATAGAATTCATGCAGGGCAGAGTTTTCTGTCTTCATTTGCTTCTCTAAACTGAACTCTGATGACTCACACAAAACTCCATCAGTTTTCACCCTCCAGGGGGAACAGTCTGAGGGATCCTCAGTGTGAGCTTTCGAAACTCTCCACTCTAAAACACTCTAAAGAAAATTTTAAAGGCCGTTTTCCTCTGTATCAGGAAAGTTAGGCAACCTATATTTTCCTTATAATGGGGTAGGATATTATGCTCATATTTGGAAATAAAATTGTTTTAGAAAGTGTCGATAATTACCAATTTATATTAGCATGCTGTGTTCCCTGTAAAATTGTCTATCAAAGAAAACTCAGAACATGATGTTGCATGAAAAAACCTTAATTTGTGCCCCAAACGTGTTATATTAATTTTTGATTCAATAATGAAATAGTTAAAAGGATGTCTTCTGTTCCTACAAAGTAAAAAAATGAAAAAGATAATCTAGTGATTCATGTAATTTGGCCACCTATCAAGAAAAAAAAAATCAGCCCAGACTAAATTCAATATATCAAAAGAAACCCAAAGATACAGAAAATGGTCTGTCATGGGCCACTGAAACCTGGGATGTCACCAGCACCCTGAAGCAGTTTCTGCATGGCCCATACAGCAAGACAAAGTATTATACCTAAATGTCACTTGGAAAAATCTTGACCTTTCTAGAATAAACGCATTAATTCGCACTGTAATTTACTTCGTACTTTACAAACTTTATTAAATAATGAGCATTACTAACTTTCATTATCTTATATACAGTATTTAAACTATGTTTTCCTAGATGCATTTTTTTTTTTGCACAAAGAATAGAATACGTGAAAAGTGAACTTATAAAAAAAATTGAACTTTCCGTACAGAGACCTAATAAGAACTTGACATACTTTTAAGTACATATACCTTTTTTCCCCAATTATATACATCCCTACCCCACCTCCAAAAGAAACTATTTTAAACAAAAGCACTTAATTGATAACTTTGAGGAAAAATACGAACATGATTATATACATACACACAGCTCTCAAAATCTGCATTCCGGCCGACGGAAGTGTTCTATGAAACTACAGATTTGTCCTAGAACCTAAAGACAACCACAGAGACATTTTATACAGTAAGGTATCCACCTTCGTGCGGTGGCGTGTATTCCTATAGGCGACATCAAGGTCATGCAACAAGAGAATGGTGGGAAGAATTAATAATTTCTGAGAATAAGACACCACAGTAATATGGATAATACAGAATTGGGTCATACAAACTACAAAGCAAAAATGGAAAACTGCATTCCTGGGACAAGAGTCAGTGCACTTAGTTTTATAAAAGCACTTACAGACACCTCTCAAGTCTAAGAATACACTTTCTTACAACGCTTCTCTTTTCTGATACTGCTTAATCATGAATACTCACGTTTAAAGAAAGGCAATGAAAGAAGGAATGTTTGCAGAACCGTGATAGTCAATATGGACTTTGTTTTATAAGCTACAAGAAGAAAGAAGAGTATGGAAAAGCAAGAAATGGGGGTAATTTTTTGTGATTTTAAAAAACGAAGGCCTTAGGTACCTGTGTGTAAAATAGAATGGTCACATTTTATGTTTTCTACTTAAGAAAGAGAGGCATTAAGACTTAAAAAGAGGGCAAGAATGATGGTTTAAGATGTCCCTGATTCAAATCAACATCATTGCTCTCCTTTAAAAGAAAAGCCCACATCCCCTTTCCCCACACATATTATGGTATCTTTTAAAATGAAAATTGAGAGGCTGAGAGAGAAGCCACAGAATGTAAAACTCCTAAAAATGAGAATACCGTGGCCACTGTTTGAGAAAACATTCTTGTTGCATTGACTGAAGTCTTCAATAAAATATCTTTATAAAATAGCAATAAGTCTGCCTTCATTTTTCTCTTAGCTTGATTTTGCTTTTGACTCACAAGGTCTTATTTTGTTTTTCTGTTTCCTTCCATAAAGAGTTAGATTAGTACATAGTATCACAATGAACCGCTATTTAAAGACCATAATGACAACATCAAAGATGCTGTTAGTCAGAACTTGGCAACAAAAGATTCTGTTCTTTTATATGCCTCAAAACAATGAAAACTGTTATGTCGGGATTAGAAAATAAATTTCACTGCAGTCAACGAAATCCTCCAGGTTGCAATGAGGTCATTTGGCTGAGTACAAAACTCATGAAAATCCATATGAAGAGCTGCTCTGGATGGGGTAACTTTAAAGTGCTTCATTTTATTTCAGCTTATGGTTTACTTTGTGCTGATTAGGCAGGCACAAAAAATAGTATGAAGGGCTCTATTTACCCGCATCTTTCAATTGTAATATGATGAGATAAGTTGTTCCCAGATGTCAACCTATCTTTTCTAATAAGTCAATTTGCTCTTTTTTGCACTTGGCTTTAAGCCATTAGGGGAAGCATTCATTACCCTAGAAATCATAAAATAAACCTGATAAGCAGCACATTCTCCAGGCCTTGTCCAGGAATACAGTTAAGGACTTTTGCTTTCAAAAAACTGGTCTTGCTACATTCTAATTTCCAACAGTTACACAATTTCTGCATCATAATGAACTGATGTAGGAATAAGAGCATAGAAACCCTAAAATGGATCTCTAGCTTAAATTATTCCAGCATCTTGCCACAAATGTAACAAAAATGTCATATATAAGCATGATCCTTTAAACAACTTTAGTTTCTTTTCTTTTTTAAAATACATGAAAAACCCTCCTTGCTGCCTTTGAGTCCTAGGATAAAACTACTCATGGCTTCTGGATATCATGAGAGGATTATCCCATTTGTTAAAGTCTGGGCACTATCAGGACATGGGAAAAAAATATCACGGCCGCATGTTAAAAAAAAAAAAAAAAAGCCGGGGGCCGGCCCCGTGGCACAGTGGTTAAGCTTGGAATGCTCTGCTTTGATGGCCCATGTTCTGGGGTTTGGATCCCAGGCGTGGACCTACACCACTTGTCAGCCATGCCGTGGTGGTGACCCACATATAAAATGGAGGAAGATTGGCACAGACGTTAGCTCAGGGCTAATCTTCCTCAAGCAAAAAAAAAAAAAAAAAGCCTAAAAATTTTCGAGTGAGATTGACTTACATGAAACATGAAGACAATCAGTATCAGAAAACACACTGTGAGCTGCTGACATCTGTTACAGTACAATCCTGGCTGGATGGGCAGCCATTTCAAAAAGTCGTGCTGTGAAAAGAAAGTATATTTTACACCTCAGGTTATTACAAAATTGTTTTAATCTGGTACATATAAAACACCTCTCAGTGTCTGTAATGTATGAGCATGATAAGAAATTAATTCAGGCAGCTGCTATTAAGAATCTCAGGCAAAGCTGCTTGAACTAAGACACTGAAATTTTTCCCTCAGAGACTGGACAATATTTTGCTGATTGGGAGATGGGCCCCTCCAGAGATAGTCATTCAGTTTGTCAGAATCGTTGTATGACGTCAGATATGGTGAAATCCCAAGTTTGCCGCTTATTGGTTTCTTTGGAGTACATGGACTATTCAAAGAGTAAGCGGTGTTGTTGCTGCAGACATCAGGAAAGTCAGCATCTACCATCTTTGGGTCAGATTTCCTCCTACGGTTGTCACATGGCTCCAACTCTGACTCATCTTCCTCTGACTTTATCTCCACATAGTCATCTTCGTCTCCTTCAGTCTCTCTGAAATTGGAGAAATAGTTCTGTGTAGCTATTTGGGCATTTAAAGGTGAATGTCTATTTACCACCAGAACTTTCTGTGAGTCTTGGAGGGTGAGATCTGAGCGTCTTTCAGGGCCCTGTTGACATGAGTCAGTGATACCTGGCAGCAAATCCTGGTGACTGTCACACCTGGGACTTTTGTGTAAAGACAGCAGCTGTTTCTTTTCCATTTCACTAGGGTAGTTGATGGAGTCCACTGACTTGTTTATTAAGATGGAGGAAGATGACTGGGACCTGTTATAAGGCTGAGATTTAGTACTGATTCCTTTCCGACCCAAAGAGTTGTAAGGATAGCCCTGAAGGGAGTTCTCTTTGTTGGGTTGACTGACCACCACGCTGTGTCTCTGTATGGAGCCCAGCAGAGGGTCAGAGGTTTGAAGAGAAGGCACGGAGCAAGCGGTGGACAACTGTCTTGGAGTACTTTTTGGACTGATCTCAAAAGTGGAATATTTTGACTTCAAGTCTTGCTCTGGTCGGAGACAGAAATCTGCTAACTCTCCATTACTATAGGTCGAATGCAGAAGCCAATCCTGGCTCCCATGTTGGGCCTGGGAAGGCGATGTAGACGTGAGGGTGGAGGAGTCTTGAGGGCTGGCCCAGGCCTCCCTCCGAGTCTCACAGGAAGGCTCTCTGAACACGATCTGGTCATACAGTTGGGAATACTCAGCAATCCTGGCACCTGGAAGGCAAATATTGAAACAATAAACATACACAGCATTATTTCTACACATGAAGATTTAAAAAATAAGAATATAACATTCTAACAAACCTATTTTAAAAACTGAAACAGTAGACCGGCCTTTTAAAAGTTTGAGCATGAGTAATCATTGAAAAGTAAGCAACACAAAGTAATAAAATAACCCACTGTTTAATAAAAAACAAAAATGCCACCTAAAAGTCCATTTAATTTGATCTAATTCTGGATTATTTCATTCCAACAGCAGGGCTGCAAATGTTTGCTATTTGTAATGAAAATTTCTAGCGTTCTTTATGGGCATGAAATAGTTCAGTGCTAAAAAGAGGCATCATAAAAACAAGAAAGTCAGCACTTAAACCTAGTCAATGAGAAATAGCTCGAGTAGTCAGCTATTAAAAGCAGCATGGCCACAATCCAGCAAGCAATGGCTACCCCTGGCTCCTCACCAGTGTTGACTGCTCTCAGACCACTACTCCCGGAAGAGCCTGCTCCCAGTGGCTGTTCCTGTACTTCTTGTTTCCAGTTAGCCCTCCACTGCCACTGTCTGGGGACCCAATGTCTACGGGAGGTCCTCCCTTCCACTACTTCAAAACCACATGTATTGACTGACCCACGCCTCCTTTCCCATCCCCAAGAAGCCAGGCGCGGAAGTCTATGCTTCCAAGTCATTAGGCATGAGCCATCTGGGCATATAATCGATCATCTAATGCTCTGTAATATTGGTTTCAGAACAGGATTTGACCAGTACTTCCATGAAAGCTATTGCCACTTCAAATGAAGCTCTGAGGCCATTCTCCTCTCAGCTCCACTTCTGAATGCAGGCATTTCTACAGATATTAACAGAACCATGATGTGGATAGAGCATTCTCCCGGGCCAGGAATGATTTAAGAGAGAGAGCCCAGAGATGTCAATTTCCAGAGCCATCTTCTCTTCCACCCTCCCCAATCCAGGTAACCCACACGACCACCCTAGAATCCAGGAATTCCATGTGCCCCTATAAATTGCTCAGGCCACATCTACACATCTCTATAAAGGGAATCCATCCTATATAGGATGACCAGCAAGTAAGTGACATCACATTTCTTCTTTAAGCTACCTATATTTTTAAGTAACCTGTTGTCTGTATATTATTCCTTGAATTTAAACTAAATAAATATTTGAGTTTCTGCCATTTCTTTCCAGTCTATGGTCTGTGAGGACAGAAAACCACCTGCTATAATTCTGTGTGCCCTTTAAATGCAACTCCCTCAAACTGCTTGCCCCTCGTCCCAGGAATCGAGGTGAATAGTCTGTTCAGTCTCTCATTATAGATCCTATATGCGGACCCTTCAGATTTGTTCTCAAGTCCAAATTCCCTTGAAGGACAGAGATTATTAGTTTGGAATGTCTAATAACAGAAACTCGAGCTATTACTTCTTAAAGGGCATAGTAAAGACTTTCAGTACCAATTAAGATTTCGCAAGCACTTAAGAGACTGGAAGTGTACAAGGACACCAAGGTGCCCATGTCCGCCGCCCTGAAATCCATAGTATTTCATTAACTATGAAATCCAACCCAAGGCAGCTGGACCTTCGGTTAGCAGTCCCCCCTGAAAGTCAGACCTTTCTGCTCAAGCCCCTCTCATCTACACTATGGCCCTGAGCCTGACCCCACGGCTGAATCAGGAAGGCTCTGAACTTTCACAAGGTTCCAAGAAGATGACAATTTTGGGGGAAGCAGTGAGAGCTAATTAAAAAATCTGGGTAAACTATTCCAGTATCAGAATATAACCATAAAGACTTGTGAGAACAATTAGCTCTTGACTTTAGAACAGGGTGGCCCAGATAATCTGAAACCATGTATTATCCAAAATACCCATATTATTTATCTTGCCTTTTTCTTCCTTATCACACTCTCTCCTCCTTCTTTTGCTTAATCAGACCCTATTTACCTTTCAAGACCTTCCAGAAGCCCTATCCCTTCCATGAATCCGATTCTAACTGATTTCTCTGATGTCTTATGCACTTGGTGTGCACCATTATTCTTAGCTATTGGCTGCACAGGCAATCCTGGGTTGCTAGTTGTTTCATATGGGCTAATTTATTACTCCAGCTAGTCCACGAGCTTTTAATCTTGGGGAAGAATCCCCACAAAGCACCAAGCATAGTTTCAGATAGAAATTGGTCTTAAGAACTAACTTCATTACTCAGATAATTTCTGGACTGCTCCCTTTTATTTTAAGCATAGTGTTAAAAATAGACGTGACTTTCCTAAGACCATACCACTGAGTGGAAAGGCAGCCTAGAAATCAGGGGCATGGCAGGAAAAGGGGAAGCCAGAAGACAGGCTTTGATTAAAATGCTTCCTACAGATAACTCCTAACGGCACAATTTGTCTTTGGATAATAAAAAGTTGACCATTTATAAGTTTGGAATAAAAAGCATCTCACAAGTAGACAATTTACTGTGCCTATCTAAGGTTTTTGTTTTTTGGTCTCAGCTTGACCTCTCAGGGGTCTCTCTAATTTGCTTGATGCCAGTGTGAACAAGACATGGGCTTCCAGAGCAATGGCTGCCATTAAACAGATTTGCTTAGCCACATACATAGGAAACAGCCAGCCAAAGAGGACCCCTCTAGCCTAAAAAGCTTAGCATTAGCCAGCTAGATCAAGGTTCTCTCTAATCCTTAGTTTGGTATTAATAATCTTTATAGAATATGTACATTATCATTATGTGACAACCCCAGGGCTGTCTCTGGTTTATTTCTCTTTCATAGGTCTAAAAAGTGGAGTTCTTATGATTCCAGATAAAAATTTGAAGTGATCCTTGCTGAGTGAGGCAGGAAATATTATTTCAATGGACAGAGGATTAAAATCAATGTTTCTGATGTTGCTTGACATGCAGACCAAAGGATAAAATGTTATTTTGCCTTCCCTACTTGACATGGGAGGAAAATTCCTCAAGCCTGTGTGGACTTTTCTACCACGTAAAACACCACAAAAAAATGGAACCCAAAGGCCTCCCTGGCCTCAAAGACCATCAGGAGGGAGGCCTGACTGAACGAGATGGCCAGCATGCTACAAGAGGCTCTGAAAGGTGGGAGCGACTAGACCTGGTTGGGTGATTTATAGGCGGAAATCTGACCCGGGGCCTGTAGACCCCGGCTAGAGAGGTCAATAAAGGTGCTCGAGAGTTTCAGCAGGTGAATAGGCTGCTCCTCCTTCCGTACAACACCGAGAGCAAGCTCCTGGCAAAGTGGCAAGGCCCATACGAAGAAGTCTGGAGAATCGGTCCGTTCGATTATGACGTCCTGTGCCCAGATAAACAAGAGAGAGAAAAGGAGTCATCACGTCAACTGATTGAAAGCCTAGTGGGCACAGGAAGTGGTCTCCATCCACCCAGATGGAAGGTTCCTCAGGTCCAAGAGATGGCAGGCCCTAGGGACGTGCTCCTGCCAGACAGCAGGGGGAGACTCCACTCTCAGAAGATGACTTTGGAGAGATCTTCTCCTCTTTGTTGGGGGAGAACGTCGATAGTAGCCCACCATGTCAAGAATGGACCCAGACACAAAGCCGAGAAAAGAGCCTATGGGAAGGCACCAGCAGGCAAACCAAAAAGGAGAACAAACTAAAAGCGAAAAGAAGCAAAAGAAAACCCCCAAATGGAACTCTATTAATACTTAAAAGGTGGGTAAAACAGAAGACTACTCAAGGGAGTTGTAAGCCCTAATGATTTAGTATCGATGCTTCTATCAAGGTCAGAGTTTGGCATTTTAATGGATGGTCCATATCCCAAACAACCTGGCTCAGCCCATTACCATTTCTCAAACGACAGTTTGCTGACATAATCCATCATCATCGGAGACCTTAGCATTATATTTTCTCCCATTCTGAGGAGCCCTAACCTAGATTCTGACAGCGGTTGCATTGCCACTGTTTCTAATGCCATCTGTGCTCCAAAAAGACTCCTGCAGTCGGAACTCAGTCACTTTTTCTACATATAACAAACCAGCTTAGCAACACTGGTGTTGGAAAAGGAGCATGAATTAATTCAAGCATATTATTACAAGGAGAAAAATATATCCGACTTCGTCTCTCTCACATTCATAGAAAAATCATTTTTAACCTTTATTTTACTTAAAAAGAAGAAGAAGAACTCAAAGAATCTGTAAAATCCTTCAGGTGGCAATTCCAGGGCTTAACTTCCCTGTCTGTTAAGAAATTTTACTCTATGATTAGCTCTAGGAAAAGCATACACAGCTTTAGACAACTCTTAAATACTATCAAACTTAAAAAAAAAAACCCTACAGATTCTTCTCACTTGTGGATTCGTTTAGGACTTGGAGATTTCCTTCTTATTCTCTGGTTTCCATGGAGATAAACAAATCAACCCCAAAGAAAAGAGGTTAGTGGCATCAACTGGCCAGTTGAGCTATGTGGCCATCAAGCGGACGATCTGAGTGTGCCCTGATGCGGAGCCTCCTGGGTTTTCCATTAATTGGAGTGCTGTCCCCTCTCATTTGATACTGAGCTGGCCCTTTGTCAGGAAATCTAGGGCAAAGAGTCTTAAAATATGACTGACAAATCCACACTGTTTTAAAATGCAGACCCCTGGGTCTAACTGCGGAAATCTCTCTACGTCTGGAGGGGAACAGCTCCTGAGGTAAGAGCTGCACCTCTCCCTCGGGTTGTTCCTTTCCACGACAACAGTGTGCTGTATTCACATCTATGCTCTTCCACGGAGACCGGTGTTAAGTTCCATCCTTCAGAACCTTCTCTACTTTAGCCAGAGCATATGTGCTTCTTTATAACGGAGAAAAACCTCAAACCATGAACATGTCCTCCCTTTAGTCCTAAGCGTACCAACATCATACCTGAGATCCTGGTTTACTTCTGCCCCATAAAGGAGACTTGACGGAAAGAATTACACTTCTCAGAAGCATACATGAGAATACCAAATGCGACGGCCTTAAGCGCAGAACAGCAGCTATTTTAAAAAATCAACCAGTAACCGAAATACGTGAGAAAACAACTGAGTCATTTTGTGAACAGCTAAAAAGAAGAATGCAAACAGGGCTCCTGTCTGTCTTTGTTAGGATGTGTAGGGCTTTTTGCTGGGATTCTGGAGCCAAGAGCAATCCTATTCCTAATGCTTCCAAACCCTAACAGCTTCCACAAGCTACCACGCCTGAGAACACACTACTGATACCCAGGGAGCAGCTGTGGATGCCACAGTCAAACCAACTGCTATTTTCATACTTCAGATTCTATTAAAACATCAGATCTGTAGTCACCAGGTTATACGCACAATGAAACCCTCTGAACCACATCACCCCACCTTGTAGGATGCGGTGAAGTGGGAAAAGGTGAGTAACAGCCTTGTCTGTCTGTCAGTCAGTCTGTGGTCCCACTGTGAGAGCATGAACGTCGAGTGACAATGTTCTCACAGTTTAAGGACATTGAGAACCCGAGAGCTGCTCTCACGTCTTACTTTCAAGAAGGAAGAAAGGCAGTGTGAAGGAACGTACCGATGGCAGGCCCTCCTTGCTTCTTGTCTTCTAAGATGGCTGCCAGATCTTTGGGCACAGATTTATGCTGCTGGCTGGCCGGAGGCCGCTCCAAGTCTGGGCTTTTCACTCTTAAAAGCTGATTTGCCTTCTTGATCTTCTGGCTGTACTGCCTGGCCATCATAAAAACCCTGCTTTTTGTCTTATCTGTGGCATCCATCCCAGGCTCAGGGGTTTCCAGGTCTGTTTGGGAGAGACTGCTGGTGGCCAAGTCATAGGTATTTTCCATGGAAGGCATCTCACTGGCCAGGGAGAGCCGGTTTAGACTCATAAAGGAGCCTTCTTTAGAAATCAGGTCATCTTCGAATGGGCAGTGGGCCCGGCTGGCTCTGCCAGGCCTGTCTTTCCGCTGCGACAGGAAAGTGTGGCTCTCGGGAAGGGAGAGCATGGACACGGACCGCCCCGCGTCTCTGCTCAGCTCAGGGGTGCTCTCGGCATGCAGCCTGTCCTGCACGTCATCTTTGCTAACAGGAAATGCTGCGAGGAGCCGGTCTCTGGCTTTGTCCTCATTTTTCTTGATGTAATTCTCCAAGTCATTCCAGATTTCGTCCACTTCTTCAGACAGTTTATCAGATATAGACTTATCGGTCACAGACAAGTTGCAGCTGGAAGAGCTATACAGCAAACTCAAATAATCACGATCAGAGGGTACCTGGTGGTAAGGTGTCTCGTCCTCGCTGAACTGGAGGCTGTCCTGGGAAACAAAGGGCCTCAGACTGTCACAGCATGCAAAGTCGGCCTCCAGACCCAAGAAGGTGCTCTTTTTGGCCCGCTTTAGGCTGCTACATTTGAAATCCAGGGAGGGGGGATCTGGGACCCTGATAGTATCATAAATGTTCTCCTCAACCACCTGGAGCTCATGTGGGCTTTGGTTCAAGGCCTCTGGACCCATGAGAGCTCCATCTCTCTTGGTGTGCAGAGAGCTCTTCTCATGGCCGGCTTGCCTCTTTGAGAAAGCTAGCTCCGGGGTGCTCTTGGGGCGAACAGAGTCCCTGGCTGATTTGAGGGGAGTGGATTCAGCCTCTTCCCGTTTAGCAACCATTACTTTTAAGTCCTCGTAACTTATGTTATCATAGACATGGTCTATATCATCAATAGTCAACTCTATAGATGACCCAAAGGGAGTCATTCCATCCTGCCCTTCTGTTTTAGGGTCATTCTGTAGTTCCCTTCGGGGGCTGTACTGAGAGCCATCACTATCCCTAATTCTTATTTCAGGAGAGCACGTGTTGCTCTCACCAGCACTGCTGGCCCGCCTAACAACCCTGTGGCCAGAGCTGGAGGTCTCTGTGGACTCAATCTGTCCCATATGCCAACTGCAAGGGCGACTCGAAGTGCTGTCTTCGCACAGTCTGCTCGAGTTCAAATCCGAAGAGGAAAAGGATGGCACAAACATCTGATAATCATCGTCATCATCCTCGTTCTCCTGTGGGGAGCGTCGGCTGGGAAACAAGGCTTGCCTGATCTGGTGGTCCGTCCAGATGTTTCTGACGGCTCCACCCCCGCGAAGCACGCTGATAAAGGCAGAACCACTTGGCTGGCTGTTCCTCTGGGCGGAAGATGGCCCTGCTGAAGTCAGCTGGGGAGACCCTTCTTCTCTGGAAACCTGAGGACAGAAACATACGGATTGAATTACGGCACCATGGACACATAACTTACAATGTTCTCCTGTATTTGCACATTGCCTCTCCCGCTAGACTGTAATATTTTTAAACAAAATGATCAGCAAACATTTTTGACTTTGAGTTGAAAAGTACTTCAGATTTTTGCAAAAGGGACAGAAAGGACAGGAAGTGATACTTAGAAATAGGCTAGGCCATTTGCAGACACTCTCCAAACTTACTGTTCACCATCACTATATGAATTAGATACAATTGCACCAGTTTCACAGTAAGGAAATGTAGGCTCATAAAGGTTCAGTAATGTGCCTTCTCTAGTCAGTAGACAGGCTAGGAGACAAACCCAGGTCTGACTCTAAATCCCTTGCCCCAACATAGGGAACTAGTGAAATATAGAAAACTCTCAGATAATTCAAATAATTCCAATGTGCACTTGGCAAATAACATTATATAAATGAACAGACATAGGTATCAAGGGCCACAATATCTGGTTTCTGTTAGGGGCTCAACTCCTAGACATCTTATCGTGGTTTCTGGTATACCAGAAGCCCCTGTCAGTGATCTAATTGCCCACTGCAAGGATTCCCCTTAAATCTGCAGACCCGTCGTGAATCTGATGAGCACTGCCTTGGTTTATAGGTTCTAGCTAAAGAGTCTTCATTGAAGGAATGCAATTTAATCCATTATTGAGCTAATTAAATTTTTATTTTCTTTCAAAATACGTTTAATTAAGTAAAACTTAGATGCCTGTTAGGGAGTCAAATATGAGTGACATTAACGATTTCTAATAACAAAACACAATGCGGTCTTTTATAACCTGGAACTTTTCTTGATGGGGCTCAACTGTGCAGAGAGGGCGTGGATCGCTCTCGTGCTCTGTAGATATAAGGATTAGCTTCAAAGAGTTGAAATGGTTAAGACCCGTTCAAATTAATGGTACCAGGGACATAGTTTCTGATCAAAACATTATAGTAACCTATAAGGTCAAATTAGCAAGGACTTTTCACCACTTATCAATGAAACTGGCATACATATTGCTTTGGAATATCCATCTATCAATGTCTGTCTGTCTATCAGGGAGGAAAGAAGAAAGTCAGGAGGGCAAGAATAAAATTTCAGCCCAAATGATATTTTTCTATAAAAAATTTAAAATAAAAAAAATCCAATTGGTCATTTAATCTTTTCTTCACTTTTTTCACATAGTAAACCTGTGGACCATTTGAGGCCTAGGAATAAATGAATGTAACACACACACATATGGATCTATGTAGATACACATATATGTATATACTATATTTATGGCTTTAATGTTTCTTTTTTTAATCCTTTAGTATCTCTCCTTTTTCATCGTAGACTACACTGGTATAATGTTTATAAATATAGGCATCAATAACTACAGTTTATAAAATAAAACAAGTTGACATTAACCACTTAAATCACAACAATCTACTTGGAAAGTGTAACAAAACGATTTTGTGAACAGCCAGAAGTAATACCTTCTTAAAATCTTTCATCCCAGAAAACCCCCAGATGTTTTAGAAAATCAGGAAACCTGAATTGTTAGTATCAAAGTACATTTTTAAGGTAATTACACTTGAAATGAAGATAACAGTATTTTGGAAGCTGAAAATTTACATCGAATAAATCATCAGGAGAAGGGAAGAGGCTCTTAGATTAAGAAATAATCATGCGGTCAGCCTTGTGGCTCAGTGGTTAAGCTCGTGCGCTCCACTTTGGCAGCCCGGGTTTCTCCAGTTTGGATCCTAGGCGCAGATGTGGCACCGCTCATCAGGCCATGCTGAGGCGATGTCCCACATAGCACAAGCAGAGGCACTCACAACTAGAATATACAAGTACGTACTGGGGGACTTCGGGGAGAAGAAGAAGGAAAAAATAAATATACATATATATATGTGTATATATATATATATATATATATATATAAAGATTGGTAACAGTTGTTAGCTCAGGTGCCAATCTTTAAAAAAAAAAGAAAGAATGAATCAGTACATGGATTGGAAACAACATAGAAGCATGTAGTTTAGATACCTCAATTTCATTAGAACCAGGATGAACATTTTTTTTCTGTTTTCCACATTCTCAGTATCATGGCTATTTAATAATAATATAATAGCTATCATTTATGGATCACTTGCTTTGAGCCAAATACTGTAGTAAGCACTTTTTAAAACACAGTATTGCATTTAACCTTTACAACAATTCTGTAAACTAGGAAACTAAGTCTTGGTAAGGTTAACAACCTGCCTAAAGTTATACAGCCTATAAGTGGCAAAAATGGATTTGAATCCATGTCTCAAGCCACAGCTTATATATGAGCTTAACCTCTCTCTCCCTATCAGTCCATTTATCTATCTATCTATCTATCCATCTAGCTATCCATCTATCCATCTATCTATCCATCTACCTCTCCATCTATCCATCTAGCTACACACACATACATACATCCACATATACACACAAGGCCTTGGAATATATATTCTGAAGGAATATTAAGTGATTACTAAGGAATATTTCCTTTTATAAGCTCTTCAGTCATCAGTAAATCTGCTCTCCTTGCATCTAGTATACATTCATTACTGTTAGGACACGGAATTTTACCACTAAGAACAAGGTGCATCAGTGTTTTGTTTCTTCCTTGTCTTCAGATTTTATAAGGTTCAGTTAGCCGCCATATGGAGATTCAGCTTGATCACTGCTATAGAAGGTTTCCAAGAAGTTCTTGAGATTGTATCTCTAGTGACAGAGCGAGTCCCCGACCTGGTACTGAGTGGGGCTGGCTCCATGATCTAGGCTGGCTGCCTTAAAAAGCAATGCACGTTCTGCAATGTTTGTTTATGAAAACTAAGTGGATTAAAAAATCAAAGACTCAAGCCATATTTCAGGACAATGAACTAATTAGTCTTAATAAGTTTCAAAAGCTTCCGAACAAAAATATGTACTACCTGAAAAAAATCCACACGCCCTAATTTGAAGAAAACCACTTAAGAGACAGGACTATGTTGATGTTTAGACATTTTGCTGGATTTAACTGAAAGATACAGCATTGATCCACAAGGTCACCTTGGCCCTGTGCTAAGGAGTGGTGCAAGTGGAACTGTGGGGACAGAGTTTCATAGCCACATCCCGATAGATATGTCAACATCAAACAAAAAGCCACGATCAGTTCTCTAGGAATTACTAATTGAGACAATTGGTCAGGAGCCACATTGGACATGGTTTACTCAGGTCAGGATACAATACCTAGTCTTCACAGGTAGCAAATTTGGATATACATCTGCTAACAGAGCATCCCATTTTTATTCCCCATCTCCTGACATTTTATCAGAGGAAGAAAAATCAAAACTTGATAGACGGAGGGTTCCTTATGTCACATTTCATCATACCTCTTATACTTGGAGCAGGACCATGTCCTTAGAAGGGGATCTTGGCGACTAAAGGTTATGCTTTGAGACGGGATCAATATTCATAATGTGAGGCCTAGGTCTCACACGCACAGAGGCAGAGCGCCACATGGCGTGGGCCACACTAGCAGTGTGCAGTGTAAGATCCTAGGGCAACCTTGTAGCTTCTGGGCCAGAGGTGGGGCAGAGGGATGAAGAAATCATTGTCTCAGTTCTGAGAGATGAAGCAGGGAGTGGGGGAGGATGTTGATAAGCGGGAGTCCTCACTTAAATTGATTTCAAAATGTGAAATAATTGTTTATACTTGGCAGACAGGCTGGGGATGAGCTCTAGAAGGGTCCCTAATGCCGACATTTCAAAATAAGAAATGTAAGTGTGCTTACCTTTTGGATGTCTTGTGCTGTTTCTGAAAAATAAAAGTTGTTTTTTAAGTTTGAGAATTAAAAATGTATCTCATACATAGGTAAGCACTAATATTTTATGAGACTTTTAAACACTGTTAATAATTGAAGCCCGAGAGGTTTCATGGGCCCTTTAGACCCAATTTTCAGAGAATGAGTCTCAGTTATCCTATATCTATCCTATGCTGTATGTAAAACAGCCTGACATACAGCTGAGTGTTATCCATCTTCTTTAATCCCTGAGAGCAATGGATCAATCCATGTTAATAAATTTCAAAAGCTCCCCCCAAATATGTTACCTGAAAAAAACCCCACACATCCTAAGCCATGAAAATCATTTAAACATAAGATTATGCTTCTGTTAATTTTTAGACATTTTCTTGGTTTTAACTGAAAGACGTAGCATTTATCAACAGGGGTGCCTTCACGCTGCGTTAACGGGTGGTGCAAGTGGGACTGTGGGGAGAGATTTACATCTTTATAGACGGCCTAATTACGTGTGTTTCATCTGTAAAAATTGTTTAATTACAGACGCATATAAAGTAAAAAGTGGTCGAATCTTCTCCACAATTCCCACCTTGTGGAGGCAACCACTCTCAACAGTTTGAGGTCCATCTTCCCGCGTCCCATACTCATTGCCCCCATCCCACCACAATGCACAGTTCTGTTTAGTTTTTAATATAGAGGTGCAATATGCAAATATATAGGGACACTCTTTTGACAGTTGCAGAATGTTCCATGCAGCATTTGACGATACACTACAACTTACTGAACATTTCCCACTAGATGGGCATTTTATGTGGTGTCCTCTTACAAACTGCAAAGCGCACACACACAGATCTGTCCACACTTGCGCGAATGCTTCTATATGGCAAGTGTACATGGTGAAATTTATAAAAGTGAAATTGTTGGGTCAAGGGCAAGTGCGCATTTTAAATTTAAATGCACTATCAACTCTTGCTCCAAAAAGTCTGCAGAAATTGATGCTCCCACCAATAGTTTCGGAGTGCCAATTTTTGTCTATCTTTTGGCCAAGCTCATGGCTTGTCCCCCCATTTGTGTCAATTAAATGTATGGTTTTTCTGATTACTAATATGGGTGACCATTTATAAATTTTACAGGCAGTTTGTATTTCTTCTGTAAAACTGCCTAATTATATTTTCTGCCTTTTAAAAAAAGAGTCCTTCGTCTCTTCTTTTTGAGGTATGGGATTTCTTTATATAATATTAATCTTTTTATGCCTGTTATCTATATTGCAAACATTTTATGTCATTTGCTTCACATTTTATAACAGAGCACTTTGACTTAGAGAAGTTAATCCTTCTGTATTCAAATCTGTCAGTCTGTACTTCACCTGTATATCAATAAGAGTGGAAAAAGAAAATATATTTTAGGACTTACCACTCGTCTTCAAAACTTTATGTGATCTTGAGGAAGGTTCTGGGAGAAAAAAAGAAAGCCAGCATCATTTGCAAAACCAAATCAAGACTTTTTCTTTACAAATGAGTTATTACGTTATGGGCAAATTAACTGAGCTCTAAAAAGTTTTTATCAACCCCATTGCTTAGAGATACTTAGCAGCAAGACATTCACTCCATCAACATTGTAAGATAAACATTAAGCTTGCAATCAGGAGTCACATAACAAGCAAACCAACCTTCCTTAGCTTTAACTACCACCTATAAGCTGATAATGTTCAATTTTATCTTCTTATCCCCAATGCTTGTCCCAAGCCTCAGACCTCAAATGCCAACTGCCAATCTGACATTTCCCCAATGTGCCCATGACCTAGGAAACTCGGCAAGTCTCAGCTCAGTGGTCTCCCCCATATCTGCTCCTTCATCTCTATTTCCTACCTCAGTTGTCACTGATATTATCCTCCCAAGTTAGTGACCAGGACGTCCTTCGAAATGTCTCCTGTTTTCATCCATCACAGTCTTGTGAGATCCCAGTCATGCTCCAGCTCAGTCTCCACTGTCTTAATCCAAGCTGTCACCATCTCTCACCCAGACTAGAGGGACAGCCTGCTACCTGGTCTTGCTGCCTACTTCATTCTCTGCATCAGGTCAAAATTCTCTTTTTCGCAAGTTCATTGCTTAAAATCCTTGCAGGATCGAGTTCCAACCCTCTGCCTGGCCTCCTTGGCCTTCCATGATCAGGACCGTATCTGCATCTTCTGCAGCCACATCTCCTTTCGTTTCACCTTGCCCACCTCCACCTCCACCCCAGCTCCATCCCATGTGCCAGCCGGACCAAACGACCGGCAACGGAGGTCTGACCTAAGGTAGGCTAGCTCAAGTCTCAGGGCCTCTGCATGTGCTGTTCCCGCCCCTGACCTGCCTCCTCAGCCCCCAGATGCCACCTGGGGTTCTGGTCTTCTGCTCTGTGAAGCCTTCTCTCTCCTTTGTCTCTCCACTCTTCCCTCCATCCACCTCTGCCACAGCTCCATCACACACACTGGTATTTGTTCACCTTTTCTGACTCTCGCACTAGACTGTGAACTCCTTGCAAGCAGGAATCACGCATATTGTTTATCCTTGCACTCCCAGCCCTCAGCACAATGCAGGGGATTAGGCAGGCACTCAACAAACACTGATTCAAATAAAAAATCTGAGGGCTAAGGGAGTGCTACATGGAGTCTGGTAAAGCTAGCGTGTGTTACAATTTTAGGTTGGAATAATCTTTTTATGTCATTTATAGCATATGTTTTTCCACGAGCAATAGTAAATAGGGTTTAAGTACCTGTGTGCCAATGGTAAGATGCTATACAAAGCAAAATTAGTTGACGGATATGTTTTATAGTCACTAGAAAACAGAGTTAAGTAGAAAAGAGTTTTAGAACAAAAGCCAGAGAGCCCCATCTTTGGCAGCCTCGAATGCATTCAGACTGGCAATGAGCTCAAAAACCAGAAAGAAGGGGCCAGCCCTCTGGCATAGTGGTTAAGTTCACGCGCTCTACTTCAGCGGTCTGGGGTTCATGGGTTCGGATCCTGGGCGCAGACCTACGCACTACTCATCAAGCCATGCTGTGGCAGCGTCCCATATACAAAATAGAGGAAGACTGGCACAGATGTTAGCTCAGGGCCAATCTTCCTCATCAAAAAAACAAAACAAAACCAGAAAGAAAATGCCCTTTGTCAGACTGAAAGGGACCTTTATTACTAGTCCCCCCATAATGATGAAATTTTGATTACAACACCCTATTTACCAGACTTTCTTCTCAGCCGATTCGGGGCAGACCCATCTCTAGAACCGCAAAATGCTTTCGTCTCTCCATCAGGACTGTAACAGAAGCCTGGATAATCTGTGAAGATAACCACATGCATCGGTAAGAACGAGGGGTTCAGGGACTTTGCAGAAAATGGGTACGACTTGGTTTGAATAGCTCTGGATTATTCCTTTTCATCAGGCACGGATACAATGCCTCCTTCCTTAATTGGTGTTGAACATGTATCCTGAGCTTTCTGTGAGACTTCAAGGAGTGGGCCAGCTAGTTTAGCTGCCTTCTCTCTCTCTCATGCACACGCACGCACATGCATGCACGCACACGCTTTCTATGTACTGTCCTTTTCCACCCTCTGGCAGAAAGAGTTATACCCATTGGCTTTACCCTTCCTAGACAGTCAAACGGTGTAAGGTGCAGTAACTCCCTCCTGCCACTCAGAATCATCGGCAACTCTATGACCCACAGAGGTCGGAAGACTCCATTCAAATAAAAATCTCAGCAGCTGAACTTGTTACCAAGGTTCCTGATAGACTTCAGGGAGGGGCCACAATAGAGGTCCTGTCAAGATAAAACCGTCTGGAGAATTCAATCTAAGTGACCATTTCTCGGGCATTTCTGCCCGGTGCTGTGGTGGAGGACATCGAGTCCTTCCCGCCCCATGGAAGCTGTCGTCCAGCGCAGTGACTCAGTATTCTTCTAGACACTGCTCCTTTGAACATCTGATGAATGCTTTAGCTTCTCTTACTGGGAAGGGGGTTTTCATTTAATTTCATAGTTTATGTCTTTCCACCCTTTCTAAGGCTACACAGACTTTGGATTAAGAAAATCTGGTCTGATCCTAAAGTAGTGCAGCATATTCAATGACCATCTGCACCCTGAAGGCTGAGGACAGAAAATTTTAGGATGCAACTGTAAACCAGTGTTCTTCAAATTGGGATTAAGGCTCCTGACGGGCATCTAAAGTTCCAGAGAGTTCTGAGGATTGTAAAGACCACATACTGTTCTCCAGTGTCAGTGGAAAAGTTATATAAATGAGGTCATTTGGTCCAATGGACTGGCCTACTCTGTTCATACCCAGCCAAGTCCAAGGAGAGGGTAGGGCAAATAAGGTTATTTTCACAGGCTGAGTTGTTCTGGCCTAGTCCTGGGCCTGGAAGAGAAGCATGTGGCACCAGTTAGTGGCTGGAAATCATTCTGTGTACTCCTAGAATCTTCCTGGTTTCCAAGCACGAGCCCACAGCCTGGGAATAAGTAAATAATTTTGCTGAAGAGAGCTAGTCACAGTAACAGCTGGCTCCTCCACGTCCTCACATTCTTCATCTTTCCTCCTAGTTTGCCCATCCATGGCCTTGCCCTCTCTTCAGAGCACTTTCTATTAAAAAAAAATTCTTAAAGAGATTTCCACTGAAAAACACATGGGGATTTAAAGAAAACAGGGAGCCAGCTCTCATAGCCTAGCCAGTTCTCATAACTAACCATGGTTAAGTTCCATGTGCTCTGCTTCAGCGTTCCCCTGGTGTGGAATCACATCACTCATCGGTCAGTAGCCATGCTGCGGTGGCAGCTCACAAAGAACTAGAAGGACCTACAACTAGAATATACAACTATATGCTGGGGGCTTTGGGGAGAAAAAAAAAGAGAGAGGAAGACCGGCAACAGATGAACAGATGTTAGCTCAGGGTGAATCGTTCCCAGCAAAAAATAAAAATAAAGAAAACAGGGCAGTGAGGCCCAGCCTGGGACCACCTAGCATCACTTCTCAGGATCTGCTGGACATGAAATGGGGAATCTCAACCACAGTGGCACCGGGGCTCATCTTTCTACTTTGGTAACACTTCCTGTTTCTGCTGGAGAGTTATCCACTGGCAGGTTGGAGGGTAACTGAATCAGTGTTTGCACTTGGGGAAAGATTCTTCAAAAGAAAGTTATTTTGAAAGTTTTAAATCAAAGTTTCTGTCAGGGGGCCAGCCCGGTGGCACAGTGGTTAAGTGCGCACATTCTGCTTCGGCGACCCGGGGTCCACCGGTTTGGATCCCGGGTGCGGAGATTGAACTGCTTGGCAAGCCATGCTGTGGTAGGCATCCCACATATAAAGCAGAGGAAGATGGACACGGATGTTAGCTCAGGGCCAGTCTTCCTCAGCAAAAAGAGGAGGATTGGCAGCAGATGTTAGCTCAGGGCTAATCTTCCTCAAATAAATAAATAAATAAATTAAAGATTAAAAATAAAATAAAATAAAAAGTTTCTGTCAGATCTGGTTGTCAGTGTTTATAGTCATTGTTTCTCTCTTCATTCCATTTAATCGGGGAGATAACAAGGATGTGGTAAGTGCCGTTGAACAAGGACTCATTTTATAGGAAAGACCTCACTTCTATTTATTCTCTGCCTGCTTTTATAAGCCTAGAAATACAATCACACGGTGAGGGGAGGCAGTTGTAATCTAAAATTTGTGCAGCATCAGGAAAACCAGTAACTATCTAGCTAGCGTGATTCTTGCAGATAATCAACACAGATTTTCTCAATGGGGTGAGGTGGGAAATGCACTGCGGGAGCTTAAATTTTGGTGGTGGTGGAGGTGGGGGTAAGAGTTGACCCTGGAAGCATATCTTACATTGTTTAGTTGATACAGAGACCCAGATACGTGGCCAGTCATCAGGCGACTCACAGATAAACCAGGTGAAATCAGTGTAGAACCGAGTCAATGTGTTAGGAAGAGATTATACGGTCCACTGGCTCGATTCATTAAAACAGTGAGCAGAGAGCAGCTACTTTCTTACAACTGACATTTTTATAAACTTTAAGAGAGAAAACGTGACAAGTACAAGTTGACGATGAAATTTCAAGTTGAGTTTAGAAGACAAAACTTACGAATGGCATCCATTTCAAGTATTGCTTGCTTGGCCTGAAAGAAAGAAGGCATAGCTATAACTGCAATCATCTTTTTTTGTTTCTTCTTTAAACTACCAATCCTTATACAGGTTTTACCCCACGTGAATAAGGGGATTTTGAAAAGCTTTAAAAAAACTCATTTCTTTTAGGCATTAACACATAGTTCAAGGGAATCAAACAGATGAGCGCCCCCATGTGGGTGGTAGGTGCTGCCAATTGATGCTGCAGAGCTAAGCTTGCAGGCCCTATGTGGAGGGGTGGGTGGGTGCATGGACTGAAGAAAGGAAGGAGGGAGGGAGACAAAGGGAGATAGGAGGACGAAAGGAGAAAGAGAGAAAGGAGGGGAACCTTCCGCTAAAGTTTCTGAAACCCAGCTGATCATTAGCATCTGTTGGTCCGCTTATCATAAAATGCAGATTCCTGCTACCCAACCCTGATCTACTGAACCCAAAGCTCGAGGGACAGGGCCGAGGATCTACACCACCATATCACTGGGGCCTTATAACTACTTTGAGTTGATTGCAAAAACGGTTTCTGGAAGTTTCTCCTGTTTTCCTCTTTCCAAATAGCTATAGAGTTAGCCATTATCGTCAGCTAACTCTCCTGGCTCCCTACCGCACCCCTGCACCTACCATCCCTTTCGTGTGCCCTAGAAGCTCTCCAAGGGGGAGAAAGAGCTGCCGTCTGAAGGGCATGGATTGTGATCCCAGCTCTGGCACTTAACGAGGTGGGTGCTCTCACATCTCTGAATGTGTTTCCTCAAGCCTAAGACTGTAAGATAGGACCCACCTTTCACAGTTGCTACTAGGACCCAATGATGGGCCCTGGACTCACGTTAGATAGCAACCACCCTCTAAGTTACCATCGGGCCTGATAAACCCTGATTCTGGCTTCCTCCGCACATACGCTCCTCCCCACTTCAACCCCAACCTCTGAGGCTTCTTGTGTTGTAATTGTTCCCACATGCTATCAATGCTTAGGGGACTAGGAAAAGATTAAGTTAATTGCTCCAACATGTATCATTCTGCTTGAGGATTCAAAGAAAAAACTAATTTAGATAGGCTTTCTTGCTCCTTTTATGTCATTCTCATTTTTCGATGGTAGTCGAAATTTAATTTAACCTACAGACATTATGCTAAAAATAACCTGAAAAATAATTTTACTTGTCTTTTGCCACAATCTGTGATATCACAGTAGAAATATTTAAGCTAAGTGGCAATCATATTTAGTTTAAAAAAATCAGTTAAAAAAACCCTTGATGCAGTCACCTTAATTTCGAGAAAACAAACTCTTAGATTTTTTTTTATAATACTGAGATTTTTTTTTATCATGTTTTCAGAGTTTGAGATTGCTAGTCCGAGTTAATTTCAAACACAAATGTCAGCTCAGTTTCTGTGAAGTACATTCATGGAACCACGTGAATATATAAGATGCAGAAGTCTACTTTCACCTTTATTCTCAATTAATCCGACGAGAGTTAATTTACATACCATGTCTGTGAATAGGCAATATGGCTATTTCCCAGAAGTTTCCTGGTACTTATAAACTTGACTTCAAGAACTCAGTATTGTTTTCCCTGTCTTGACATTTAATTTCCAGAAAGTACGATTCCCACATTTTCCACTAGGAGTCAGCCAGGGACCATCACTGAAGGCAAGGACTGGGAGGAGGTAGGGAGGAATACATACACTAACCAATTCCCAACAGCTCTGTTCATATCATTAAGAAATAGTCTTGAGGAAAGAAGTGAAAAGTTCAACTTGGTAATAACCCCGCTGAAACAACACACAAAATTATTATAACATTATAGTGGATAAAGTATATTAAATAAGTGTGCTTTCATTGCTCCCTGGGAACAACGTGGTTAAGACGCTCTTTGGAGCCAGACTGACCTGGCTTTGAATCCGGACTCAGTGAGGTACTAACTATATAAACTCGGGCAATGTAATTTACATCTCTGAACCTCTGTTTTCATTTCTCTAGAATGGAGAGAATAAGACCTATCTCATAAGGTGTTTTGCGGGGGGGTGAAATAAGAATCGAAAGTACTTAGCACAGGGTACGTGTGCTCGAGAAGTTGTAGCTGAAAAAATACTGCTTAGATTCTAAAAGGATCAAGAACTTGGGCAAAAAAGTACGTAAAGGGAAAATTGCCTGGAACACACACCCCTCGTGTGGGAGAACGAGGGCAGTACGCAAGCTAGTCTTGTTTTGTAATGGCCTGTATCTGCCTTTCAGAATCCCTTGGCAGTTCTGATTTTCCTAGTAGACAGGTAAACAATAGGTGAGGCATATCAAAGACACTTCGCCATTGCCCAGAAGGGCATTCCAAGGCACAGGGCCAGCAACCTAATGACTAACCAGGAAGAAGACGCAGTTCTCTCTGCATGAGCTGCCTTACATCTTGGAACACCTCGATGAAATGAGACTCATGCTTAAGTCAAAGAACACACCTACACCCATTCATTTCCTGGGTTCAAAGTCACTGCTGACAGCCTGAGAACGGGCTTCAGTACTTTTCAAAAAATATACAAAGAGCAAAGTAGACTCCTTTCTCGGAAATCTCCGTTTCCTTATTTTCCACCCAGTTCTGCTCTCATGATCATCATTCCATTTTTCTGCTCCACTTCACTCCTCCCCGCCCCAGCATGGACCATTTCACCATCCATTCTCCACCCTCACCTTAGTTCACTTTATCTCTGATGACCTTTTGCTCCACTCCAAAACAGCAACACAGAATTCTGGCCTCATGGCCGCCCCCAGAGCCTTATCATCCCCCAGAACCGCCCTAGCTCTAAGGCAGGGCGCCAGAAGTCCCTTCTTCAAGTACAGAACTCTACATTCCCACCTTCCCAGCTCTCCACCTGTAACTCCTGATGAACCAGTTCTCCGACTTTTCAAGACCAGCAATCCTTCAACCCAGGCCTCTATTCCCAGGTGGGTGCACTTGCCACTCAGCCTGGAAATCATGCTCGATCGTTGCCATTACGTGCTGACTGGCACCCTCCCTTCTCTTGCCCTGTTAACCGTACTCCTCATACTCCAACAAACCCCCAACTCGGAGAACCCACGCGCACCACGCTTCCTCAACCCGCGTTTCCAAGTTGCTGGGCAGACTTGCAAATGACCTCCTCACACTGATCCATGGTGGCCAGCTTCAGTCGGGTCTCGGATGCTTTCCACAAATTCTTGTAGTCATCCCTCCTGACGCTCTGGTCCATTTTTTAGTAAGTGTTCTGAACTTGTCCACATTCCCTCAGGTACCCAATGCCACCTCTGCTTCACTCACTCGGCAGATGACATCATCAAACCAAACCCTCCATCTTTGGGGAAATCAAACCCTTTATCTTCCCTCAAGTCCACCTCAAAGTTACTCTATCTTCTCTCATCTCTCTTCTCTCCCAGCTCAGAGAAGATGTTTCTGGCCCTTTCCACAATGAACTGTACACTATGGTGCTTTTGATCCTGTCCTGCCACCTGCCCAGGGGCGCATTCAAATGAGCATCTCTCCTCTTAACTTTACTATCTCCTTCCCCTCAGCCTGTTTATGTCCATGGCATCCTTCATCTACACAAAGCTTCTTGCTTTGATCTTGTCTCCCCTCTAACTACCACCTTTTGTCTTTTCTGAACTTTGTTAAAAAAAAAAAAAAGCCTACGCCCAGTCTGTTCCTTCTCACTTCCCCCTTTCTCTTCAACCCACTGCAATCTCCCTCTTATCTCTTAGTTGCCAAAGCGAATATCTGCTATTCTGTTCGAATCTGCCTTGGGCTCTCAGCATTCAAGACTCTTGCTCCACTCCCTCTCTTCGAGACTCTTTCCTTCCTTACCACACCTTCCTCCTCTAGCTTTCTTACCACCTCACTGGCCACTTTCCTTTGATTGTTCTCCAAATCCCACCCCCTTGCAGACCACTTAGATGTTGGGATTCCCAAGGTTCTTCTTTCCTTTACACATTTTTGTGGGCCACCCTATCAAATCTCAGGGCTTCAATGACTGTGTAGAGAGGGCCTCCAGACCCTCGGCTGCCTAGACCTGAATTTCTACCTGCAGCTGACCTGCCCCAGCACGAGCCACACTGAGAACTCCTCCCTCTCGCTCCCAACCAACCGGTTCCTCTCCTTTGCAGCCTCCCTGGGAACTCACACCACCATCCTCTTGGCCCAACGCCCGACGCATCCTTGACTCCGATTTCTCCCTCTCCTCATGCACCCAGTGCACAAATCCTCTTCCCTTTGCCTCCGTGATGCGTTTGGCTTCTGCGCCCCCTCTGATGCTGTGGCTGCCTGGCAGGCCCCTCATCTCTTTCTAGACTATTGTGGTGGCTTGCCAAATCTCTTCCTGCCTCCAATCTTGCTCCTCCCACTCACTTGTCTTATTTGACCTTAAAGTTACACGCTTGGAACACAGGGCTCACTGTGTCACCCCCTTACTCCAACACCTTCAGTAGTTTCCCACCGCCAACACAATCCAGACTCATCAGAGTGTGCGTTCAAAGCCCTTCACAGGTCGACTGCCTTCCACTTCTCCAGCCTCACCTCTTACTCCATCTCCTGAGGACTCAGCCCTTCCATCTCGGCACCATCTGTGTGTTGTGAATACAATGCAGCGCTTCACATCTCTGTATTTTTGTTTATGCTGTTCCCTCAGCTTGGTTTTCCTTTTCCTTTCCTCCCACTTAATAAAGACACTCCTCATCCTTCAAGACTGAGGTAAAAGGCATTGTCCTTCTCCCCACTTGACTGTAAGTGAACACTGTAACCTTCCACAACACTTGGCTTAGACCTCTATTAATTCATTGTTTTTAAGCAAACGTTCATTGTTATATGGCTGGCTCCCTTTTCTACAAATTCCTGCACACCTGAGTCAGGATCTTGTTTCCCGAGCATTCCCACGAAACCTCAGCTAGTTTTATTCACTGTAGCTGCCTGGTACGCTTTTGAATAATTCTCAAAACTCTATTCTCAACTAGCTTTCAAGACATTTTCTTACAGTCTTCTCTTTTTCCTTCTTTCAAACCCCAAAACTCTCCACAGCTTCTTCCTACACGTGAATCTTTTCAGTATAAACGACTGGTTTAGTTGATCCCTTAAGCAGCCTCTCTCTCAGTTTTCTTTATTTTGAAGTGGAACATTTATTCCCGTCAGGCGGCCCTCCCAGGACCTGAATTCTTTTACGTTTTACTGTCTGTTGACCTCCCTGTCTTACCTTAGCCGGAATCTTTGCCGCGTGATTCTCCAGGATCAGTCTTTTCAGGTGCAGAACCCACAGGCGTTTGTCTTGTTGGGACTTAGCCTGCCAGGAGGAGAGTTGGACAGTCAGACAACTCACGCCTCCACCACTCCCAAGATTCAGATGCTCCTACAACCCTCTGACAAGATGGAAAATACACCATGTGGCCAGAAAGTTCTAGAAAGGCCACCTGGCACAGGGTGCTCACCATTCCCCAGAGTGAGCCTGGCAGGGTGGCGAGGGCGCTGCTGTTACCTGAACTGTGTGCTGCAGCTTGGGGTTCTTATAGTGGAAGACGCTGAAGCTGAGCGGCTCCTTGGGTATCACCTCCACAAGCATGAGGTTGCCACACTGAGCGGGAGAGTAGAGAGAGGGTGAGGCCCACTTGGAAGAGAACGGAACAGGCAACTGCAGTCCTTGCCCGCAACCAGTCTTCAGACTTACCAGGATGTGAGCTTTGTATGTAAACGTGTCGTCTCTCTTCTTCGTGATGAGAAGCAGCTTGTCGAAGAGGAAGAGGGTCCTCTCATTCTTGGCGCGCTGGAGGCGGAAGGTTCCCTCGAGCACCAGTTCCCCGTAGCTGGTCAGGTCCGGCCCCTTCCAGTTAGTGAGCAAACTCTGTATCTCCTGAAACGGTGAACGTTCCATGTGATCAGACAGGAGGTGGGAAGGTAAGGCAGCGAGGACAGGGGGCCCAATGTTGAGCCTTGAGAATGGTGTCTCAATGTCTGTGACGGGGTCCAATGGATCTACATGGTGTCCAATGGACATACATGGTGTGCAATGGATCTACATGGTGTGCAATGGACATACATGGTGTGCAATGGATCTACATGGTGTTCAGTGGATCTACATGGTGTCCAATGGACATACATGGTGTGCAATGGATCTACATGGTGTTCAGTGGATCTACATGGTGTGCAATGGATCTACATGGTGTGCAATGGATCTACATGGTGTCCAATGGACATACATGGTGTGCAATGGATCTACATGGTGTGTAATGGACATACATGGTGTGCAATGGATCTACATGGTGTGCAATGGATCTACATGGTATGCAATGGATCTACATGGTGTGCAATGGATCTACATGGTGTGCAATGGATCTACATGGTGTTCAGTGGAGCTACATGGTGTGCAATGGATCTACATGGTGTTCAGTGGACCTACATGGTGTCCAGTGGATCTACATGGTGTCCAATGGATCTACATGGTGTCCAATGGACCTACATGGTGTCCAATGGATCTACATGGTGTGCAATGATGTCTAAGGACCCAAGACATAAATCTACGTTTATGGGTGGTATCACTTAAGTGTTCATGAAAATGAGTCAAGCTGTCAGTTGACAAGTTGCCCATTACTTCTTTCCATTCTTTGATAAGCCCTCTACTATGGCTGGCAGCAGCCGTTAAGTCTTTCAAAAGCTAGGGAAAGAGGCCACTGGTATGTGACCTTCTCAGATAGGCATCCTTCCCTGACTCTCTGGACAAAAAGCTTCAGAGCTATTGACTTGGAAACCTGCTTCCAGAATGTGAAGTCCACACCCCATAAAGGTAACTCAAAACCAAAGCTTGTGGAAAATCACACAAGATACATCTTCCTAGAAATTTCCTGATCTTAATCTCATTTATTTGGGGAAAGGAAATGCACATTTCTTTACCACGATGTTTCCCATGGAACTTGGTAAATATAAATTGATAACATGACTTTGAAGTTTCTTTGGGATTTACTGTACATCCATATCAACTTTTTTTTTAATCTTTATTTTTTGTGAGGAAGATTGGCCCTGAGCTAACATCTGTGCCAATCTTCCTCTATTTTATGTGGGATGCCACCACACCATGGCTTGATGAGCAGTGCTAGGTCTGTGCCTGGGATCCGAACCTGCAAACCCCAGGCTGCTGAAGTGGAGCATGCAAACTTAACCACTCTGCCACCAGGCTGGCCTCCCACATCAACGTTTTTTAAGGAAGCTGATTTTATTATTTTGAAAAATGAAAACATTCACAAATAGCATCTAATGAAGCAGCCCACAAGGCAACCTAAAATTTCATTGGTTGAAAGTAGAAATGGACGGAAATGGAGATAGTCTGAGTCAGAGCCTAATTTAGTAGTGTCTTCAGAATGCCAGATTCATAAGGTACGAAAAACCAGTCATGGGGCCATTTCTAAATATGCAATAGATGTTATGTCTAACATTATGTCCGCAAAACGCTTGAATGATGAAGCATGAAACCTTTCTTACTGCTGCAAAACCAGACACAGCCTGCAAGATTAGAAGCCGTCTTCCTTTGACTTTTGATGGTCAGTTGCATACACCACACTCTGGCTGCCTAGAGATGAAACCTACAGTTTTGCTTGGGCTTATGGGCCAAATAATGTATCTTTTTTCCCTGAGTGGTGTGTAGGTGCCCTGAATAGCATGGGGTCACTCTGGGTTTTTATATTTCACTCCAGGGACAAGCAGGAGCCTAGGACTAGCCTCTGGAACCACATGACCTTTTGTTTTTAAATAGCACATCCTTTGAGGTGCCCGGGACATGATCATTGGCTTAGCATTTATCAGAAGCTCCCAGGGATTTGGGGCTCAAAAATGTTGGTGCTGGAAGGGATCTTAGCAAATCCCTCGCCTGTCTCATTTCAAAAATGAGGAATCTAAAATGAAATGGTAGTCTCGTCCCAAAGGGCGTGGTTCCAGACTTAGCTCTCCTTTCTCTGAGTCCCCTGCCCTGTTACCACACATACACCACCTCATGACTCTGCAGGAATTAGTGCAAGAGGAACAGAGGCTTGGAAACCCTTTAAATAGTTTAGAGAAAGTCGCCTCTTGCAACAAGAGTTACTTATTTGTAATAAACAGACAAGAAGGCCTGGGGAGATTCAAATTTTAACTGGGGTCACTGAAGGGGCTCTGAGCAAACTGTTAGTTTCAAAGTTACCATGTAACTTTCTCATAAATAGCCACCTTCAGCAATGATCTGTATTATCAGTGTCCTGATCTTTCTTCAGGGAGAACAATGATAAGACCCCCAATGAGGTGCGACACTTGTGCAGCCTTAATGTCTGATTTGGAAAATGACAGTAAATCGTGCCTCCACAGCACTGCCAGCCACTGCCATCTCGGGGGCCCACCTGTAACCGGACTGCGTGCTCATGTTTCCGCTTCATGTCATTGATGTGCCAGGCCACTCGCTGCATCGTGTCTATAGCATCAAGCACCACGTCATAGCCGTCTGTGTCCTTGTCAAGGTGATTTTCTATTTCCTTGAAAAAGACAAGAACTGGTTTTCAGATTTTTTTTCTCATATAGCCAATGAAACAAATGGTACCTCTATGATCAGTTCTTCATATTTTATTTTTGCTTATTTATTTATACACTGCCATCATTCCTTAAGATGCTGAGATAACTTATCAGAGGCATCTGCAACAAAATGGTAAAATGGGAATAAAGAGGGAGCTAGAAAAAATAGAAGTAGATTAGAATTTCATGACAAGGAGGATAAAAACAAAACACGTGCACAGGCCACTAAGTCTCACAGAGATATCATAGTTAGCATAACAGACACGAGAGTTGACAGTATAGTTAGAGATTTCTGAGCTTTCTAGTGGCCAATGTAACATAGGTCTCATTCTTACAAGATAGAAAATTGACTTGTTTTTTTTCCTCCTAGAGGAAGTAAAATGTCTCGCATAGGACTTAATATGTAACAGACTTGAAAATATAATGGACCGTGATCTTTGAAAAACATTCCTATAGCAAGTGCATTTCAGGCAGTCAAGGCTTTAAAGTTGAAAGGAAGGTCACTGAAGACAGTCCTTCAGAGTGCTGAGAAAGATCTCACGGATCAAGTAGTCGCTGCCTGATGGTCACAGTGTGTTACATCAGCACTCGGCTTGGCACTGGAGTCCCGCAATCCCAGGGAGATGAGGAAGGGACACAATCTCTGTTCTGACTCTGTTCAGCACATAAGACACACATCCCAAGACTCCTCAAGAATCTTAGGATAGGGACTATCGATTGCCTTGTTCCTTTAACCCTTATCTTCCCAACAATGCCCACCAGAGAGCTGGGGTCAATAAATGCTTAGCAAATTGAAGCTATATCTTCTTAAAACAATAATACAGTAACCCTACATAACTATGTAAACCAGTAAGAAGATATTATAATCCATTAGATCTTTTCCATGACATTTATCATACATAATTGTCAAGCTAAAGGGTGGAGGCTGAATCTTCTGGTATAATTACAAAGATCAGTTCCATTATTTTATAGTCATACTTTACAAATCTTTATTTTTCCCAAGTACTCAAGATTTCCATCTAGCTAGAACCTGGAAAGGAATTTACATTTTCTTTCCACACTCAGACTCAGCTGTTCCAAAGGCCCTGTGGAACCATACGACTAAACTAGTAACTCCTGGCTAAGTTCAAGATCAACAGCAAATTAAAAAAAAATAATGATTTCTTCTTTTAATCTGAGAGGCCATCCCGCTCATCAATAAACAGACTCAGGAGTTGAGAGCATGTTCCTGTGGGGATCTTCACGGATGGCCGCACACCTTTGAAGTGAGGTGAATGACATAGAAGGGACACTCTAAAAGCAAAAATACTTCAAAGTCAACCGGAAGTTAGTTTTCCATTAATTTAACCACTGTTCTTCCCTCTTTTCTTCATTGCCAGCTGTTATGGACTAAAGGTTTGTGTCCCCCCAAAATTCCTATGTTGAAATACGAACCCCCATTGTGTGGTGTTAGGAGGTGGGGCTTTGGGAAGTATAAGGTCATGAAGGGGGAGCCCTCCGGGATGGGGTTAGTGCCCTTATGAAAGGGACTCCAGAGAGCTCTCCTGGCTCTTTCCACCAGGTGAGGACACAAGGAGAACTCAGCAGCTGCAACCCAGAAGACGGCCCTCACCACAACTCAATGGTGCTGGCACCCTGATCTCGGGCCTCCAGGCTCCATGAGAAATAAGTGTTTGCTGTCTTAGCCACCAGTCCCCAGCACTTTCTTATAGCATCTCGAGCTGACTCAGACAGCCCCTCTTAATTCAGAGGGTAAAGGCTCTTCTTCCTATCAATTAACTTTTCGTAAGGATCTTGTTACATCTGATATGCTTAAGTAACTGAGACCTTAGATTTTTCTTTTCATGGATGGCCACCTTACTGTCCAGAAGGCCAGAACTAGAGATTCTTGGGACACAGTCTTAAATGCCATGTTAGCAGAGGCCAGCAGACATCCATTCTGGGGCGGCCATTATTTATTTAAAGAATGATTCGGACGCTAATTTGGCAAATTAATCCCACTAATCTAAGAGGTCACGAATATCAATTTAACAATTAAAGTAAAACCTCTGATGTGGTTTCACAGGACACAAAGATGAGTCACCCAGGCAAACAGACAAAGCTGAGAAATTTTTGGTCAAGTTACACCCTAAGAGTTGTTAAAATTTTAAATGTCTGTGAACTGAGCAAACCTGGAAGGATTATCCAAGTTAGAAACCTGCAATCATTCAAAAAGAGATACATACAAATTGCAGGCACATTGATATAGAGAGAAGAACTCTGGATTAAAACCTTTTTAAGATTTTTAATATGGTATTAAAAATAACAGCTTATTTTTATTGACTGCCTGTGAGCCACAGTGAACACGGGCAATTTACAGGATTTAAACCCAGGCAGCCTTGCCCCAGAGTTCGGCTCCTAACCACCTAACTGTCTTGGAAAGGCAATCTGATCCTACTTACAGAATGAAAACTACTTTCAATAAAACTTATTTCCTTTTTTTTTCCTGAGGAAGATTGGCCCTGAGCTAATATCTGTGACCGTCTTCCTCTATTTTATATGTGAGAAACTGCCATGACATGGCTTGATGAGTGGTGTGTTGGTTTGCCACTAGGATCCAAACTGGGGAACCCCAGGCCACCAAAGCAGAGCACGTGAACTTAATGGCTGCACCACTGGGCTGGCCCCAAACTTATTTCCATTTTTATCAATATCCTTAGAGGATAAGAAATGAGAATGTGAGAGTTACTTTGTTTCTAAAGTCTCCTGGTATTTTGTATAAATAATGGAAAATGATACAAAGATGCCCTGAAGCGACACTGAGCCCAGCTCACAGATCATTCTGCACGCTGCTCAGCGGCGTCTGCTCTCTTTTCGGCCTCTTCTCATACGAATGCCAATCTATGACAAACAGCTCTCCCTCCCAACTGCCTACTGAATCTGGGCTCGTGGAAATAAAATAAAACATTAACAATCTGGTTTTTATTAAGATGATAGCTCCCCGTCTGAACCTGTCATTGTCCAGCATCAGGTACTTCTAAGGCCTGACAGAATCAGGGCTAAAACGAGTCTTTTTACTTGGCAGTTGTCAATGGGGCTGCAGGCCTAGAATATAAATATCTCTAATTCCTCAAAGCAGATTAGTCAGTTGTAAAGTATGAGCGCAGAAAGTATTTCCATATGTCTCCAGCCTGTTCTGATTTTTTTTCGCCCCTAAACTTAATATATACACACAAAATCCCCATCCCTCGGAAAGTCCTCGAGCGCAGGCAGACGCTTACATGCAAAAGCAGATGATACTTGAGAATCCGCTGAACTGGTTTTAAGAGATAGGAGCCCAGAGGCAGGGAGTGTTTCAAAGTTTCCTGACGTTCCCGGAAGAATTTGGCCAGCATCTTGTTCCTCATGCACTCTGTGAGCACAGCCACTGATCTGCAAGAAGAAGAATATTTTTATCTACACGGGAATGCTCAATGTGGGTATTCAAGTCTTAAATGCCGGCGTAAGTGCAAATATCCTAAAACAGGTAGGGCAGCAACAGAGCTATGGCTGGACTAGAATGCCTCTGGGCAAGTTAGAAAAAGATGCCTCTCTGGGTGGGGGAATGAGGAAAAGGCCTGTTTCAAGAGAATAGTACACAGATGTCCACATGGCTTCTAAGCAGCAAGCTCCTTCTAGGAGATGCAGCCCCCTGCCAGGACCCACAGCTTGGCAAAGGGGATCTGCGTTGGATGTTAGCTTCCAGTTGTGCCCCATCTGGGTGTCTTTATGACATTACAGGCAGGTGGTCAGAGACCTTGTCTCACAGGAAACTTCCCTTCGAGAATCTTTGACCAGATCCGTCTTTCCACCTCCAAGTGGTTCTCCTCCTAAATTCAGCTTCCAAAACAGCTCGATAGCCTTGCTCCTTAAGGAATGTGCCTCACTGCAGTGTTTTTGAAAAGTGGGTCGGGTTCCTTCTCCATCCCAGCTCCCCCAAAGGTACCGAGTACGCCCCCCTAACATCCCAGGGGAAGAGCAGAGGCAATGCTCATATCTCACACACAAAGCAAGGTAGGGGGCTCATGGAGTCTCACATGTGTAAATTAAAATCTTATGGTCTTGTAACATCCAAGGAAGCAGGTGGAAGTAATTTCAGCCCTTTCTCCCCAAGTCAGTAATATGTTTTCACGATAAATTTAGAAAACCAGAGAGAGGCAAACAGCAAAATAAGACTCCATGGGAGAGAGCAAAATGGAGGTTTCCTAATGAAGATGTTAGAGCCCGGCTGCTTTGAGAAATATCTGTTCAAACGGGTTTATTTCCCCCCTAAGTCAAGATTTCAAAACTATTCTCCATCACGCAGCCTAGGAACTTTTCCGAGGTTCTTTAGAGTCAGAAGCAGCTGTCCAGCAGCCCTTTCGCGTCCGAAGGCTTTTTAACAATAAGAAACCTGCACCCATCCGGAGCACACGGAAGCCCAGGTTCAGGGCCGGGGAGACATCTGAGGACAGTGACCTGGTCTGGGGCAAAGACGGAGGGCCGTGCCCCTTCACAGCAGAATCGCTGGGGCGTGACTGGTATGAAGGAGGTGGCCATCTGTCAAGATGTGCCGGCGACATTTAATATCACCAGCCTGGCTCCAAAGGGGAAGACAAGTTGTCAGATGGGCTGACACACTTGGCTGAAACTCTCAGCTTCTTAAGATGGGGGAGAGGAAACCTCGGGCCTCAGAGAGCAAACAGCTGGGAGACACAGCAACAGAAGGAAATATTTTTCTATGAATTTGAAAACCATACAAGTGGGCAAGAAGCAGACATGCCCGATTCACTGAGAAGGCCTTTCGAGCATCTCTCTGCTAACACGTTTCTTTCCTTCTTCAAAGTCAGACATAAAAAAACCCCACACTTCCTCCAGGAAATTGTCCTTAAGTCTCCAGAGACTTATCACCTTTGTCTCATGCATATTTTGCTTCTATTACACATTACTGAGTTCGTACTGCATTAATTTGTATTTATTGATTTGATCTTCCCTCACACGCTATTCCACTATTGCATTTAGTTGAGTTCTGACCCTCAAAAGAATATAAACTGCTAGAAGGTAAGAGATACAAGTTCCTACTTCCTGCCAATACACACCCAGCTTGGAACCATGCTTTGTGAATGACGGGCTCTTAGAAATGTCCTTGCACCAATGATTGGCCTGTCCCCTGACCCTGAAGCAGCCTAGCATATAACCATCTGCCTTTATTTTGTACTCTTTAATATTGCTAAGGCAGAAAAATCTTAAGATAAACCTCCCAAATTACAAATTCAGAAGTTATTTCTTCAAAGGACATGTTTATAATGAAATTTACAGACATAAACCCCCAAACAAGCCCCTCCAGCATCTCAGAGCCTGATAACTGGCTCCAGAACTTTGCAGGTTCTCTAGAGTTTGAATGTCTTTCCCTTTTGCTCAGGAAGAAGTTTCATGGAAAAGATGAGGGCCAATTCTGTGCTTTTCTGAATTGGGGTGTGGTGTAGTACCGGTTTTAGCTCAAGGATGATGAGATTTAGTGGGGCACCCTACAATATCCTGCTATCTTCAGCATAGAGCTGGAAACAAATACTTTTGGAAAGAACACTCCTTAAGTGAAATTGTATAAACTGTGGGCGAGTCTACAGATAAGGATATGGCAGGTTTTTAATCTGCGTGTGTTTTTTTTGTTGTTTTTGAGGAAGATTAGCCCTGAGCTAACATCTATCGCCAATCCTCCTCTTTTTTGCTGAGGAAGATTGGCCCTAAGCTAACATCCGTGCCCATCTTCCTCTATTTTACATGTGGGATGCCTGCCACAGCATGGCTTGATAAGTGGTGTGTAGGTCCACACTCAGGATCCAAACCGGTGAATGCTGGGCCGCCGAGGCAGAGTGCCTGAACTTAACCACTATGCCACCAGGCTGGCCCCATAATCTGCATGTGTTTCTTTGTTTGTTTCTTTTAGGGGAATGCATCGTTGGCCATTAACCAAATAAATCACCACAGCATAATATCTTGACCAATACTTAGAGGTGGAGACTAAAATGCACCAACGGAAAGCATTTTGCCATCAGTAAGTGTCAGCCTCTGGCTTCATCCCTTTTAATCCAGACTGGCCTTCAGGGCAGGGGGCCCATTTGTTCTTCCTTATCACAGTAGCTCTAGGGGCTCAGCCTGCTGGCTTCTCCTCTAGATGGATCCCACCGCCCACTTTATCCTTAGGGATGTGTCTCTACCAAGACTGGCGACAGACTGTCTAAATCTCCCTAATTCTCATCTTCCTGGCTGGTCCCTAAGATAACAACTCCAGTCCTGTTGATCATGTGGGAAAGCAGACAGTAAAAGGCATGGGGAGATTTACGAAGCTTCAGAAACTTTACAAGGATGTAGTAGCATGAGGTCTGAGGTTGGAGAAACCTCGACTGAAATCCCAGTGGGGCCACTCCTCAGCTATGTGACCCCTGTAAGATCAATAAGCCTCCGGGGACCTCCGATATTCTATCTGTACAGGGTGGCAGTGAACTAGTGCTTGTCAAGAACTTAATAGGAGCCCAGGCACTGTGATGGACGGATGTTCTGCTTTTCTCAAATCCCTCAATATCTCTGGATTTTGGTGAAAGTTAAATTCAACATCACTTTCATTTACAACATTTAACACAGGGCTTGAGAATCAATCAGTACTCAAAAAATGTCTTTTGCAGGAAAACGAAATTCCTACAGTGTGGCCCAGGTTGGGCCTGATGCCCTTACTGAAATGGTCAATATAGTGGCCAAGGATGTTCCCTAACCATCCTTCCTGCCATCGCCCCAGGGTCAGCAAAACTGAAGCAGTGATCCAGGGACTATGAGTCCTCTTTTCTCACATAAGCTCGATCTTTCCTTTCTCTGAGCTCCATAAACTTACAGTTCATAGAACTTATATAGCAAACACGTACCATATTCTCTCCCCAGCTAGATTATATAACCTCATTAACAGTGCTTCCCATATTCTGAAAAACATGGCACACATACGAAAGGGTTAATAGTCAAGCCTTAGCGCCAAACACAACTGGTTTGCTTAATTTTCCACTGAAGGACACTTAGCAATCTTTTTGCAATGTCTTTTACAATTTCTCTCTACACTGGCTGTGCTGGCAGCCTGAAGCCTGCACGGATCAACATCTGGGTGCCGTGGATTCTGTTCTCAGCATGTTCTGCAGATCCCCCCAGGATCCAGCACCGTGCCAGCCACATAATGACTCAGCACCACATATGTTGGACCGACTGACTTGAAACGTCTGAAAGCGAACAGGCCTCCTCCTGCACACACACAACGCATACCTGGGGTAGTTAGTGCAGTACTGGGTGTAAATGTGGAACTCTTCACTCTGCAAGGAAACAAAAGAGATTTTGATGGACCAAAAAGCGCAGGCATCAAAGGTCGTTTAAAAACAGCAGAAAGAAACATCATTCATACCTTTGTATTTGTTTCTCTAATCCCATGGGCCTGTCTCCTGAGCCCCTGTGGCAACCATCTGTGCCTGTTCGTCTACCTTGTTTTCTGCCTAGAATCCACACGCACTTGAACTCATTTGAGTTCAGTAAACACTTACTGAGCATCCGCTGTGTTACGGGGATGGATTGGGAAGGGAAATGGGAAGAGGAGGGATCTAAAGCTTCCACCCCCACGTGCTCACAGCTTTCTGGTGGAGTTGCACCGTGGAGAGAAATATAAGCAGAAAAGTCAAATAGCACGTGCTGAGAACACGCTGGAAGTCTGAGCAGGGCAGGAGGAAGCTGCTGGATACTTTCAAGGCCCTGCGCATGCAGCTTTCTCTGCCCATGGTCTTTCCCATCGTTTTCACTGCTTAGCCACTAGGCATCATTTGATGTTGAATTTACACTTTATTTCTTCCAAGGAGCCTTCCTGAGCTCTTGGGCTGAGCCAACTGCTCCTACTCTGGGCTTCCACAACCCCAGTGCTTACCTCTCCTGTAGCATTTACCAAATGAGAGTGACATCGTCTGTGTGTCTGTCTGTCTCCCACTCTAGTTCCCGCGGGGTAGGGGCCATACTGTGTTCATCTGGCACATAATGTTTGTTGAACTACTGAATCTCACCCCCTCTCTTACAAAGCTGACAATTATTTGAGAGCAGGATCCAAATCTACTCATCTGTCTGCATCTAGCAGGGCAGTGATGCCTCAAATGACTAACCAATGTGGGGTTCTTGCCTCTTGCTATGATCATCTTTCAAGTTTCCTAGCATCTTTCGATACCTCGGCATATTATCAAATATTGGTCTTAGTCTTCCAGATGTCTAGTCACATGATCAAATATTGGGAAATATTAAATTAATACTTCTTGCTCTTAAAGGATAATTTGTAAAAAAAGTACAACCATGACTTCCATGCAAATATAGCATGAAGGCTGTCAAAGATTTTATTTAACTTATTAATCAGGAAAGCAGTAAGGTATTACCATTGGATCAAAGGAGAAAAAAAAGTATCACATTCAGATAGGTCGATGAACAACGCTGAAATGAATTTACAATTAGATACAAACCTGGCTTTATCTACAGGGATGAGTGGGTAAAGAAATCAGTTGTCCCTCTATGGGGCAGTATTCACTTGCATGTTTGTGGCCAAGAATCATTTACATTTCTAGCAGTTATCTACAATTTAGAGAGTTGTAAAATAGCTCAGAGACAATGAAAGGTGCAGAAATCCCACTGAATCATATAATTTAGAAGGGTAAATTGGAAAGTACTTAAGTTTTCTATTGGAGGCATTCAGTAATCTGTTTGGTCGATTTCAAAGTCTTCTGCAATTTTTCCCTACACTGCCAAGGCAAAGAGGTATATGTAAGTGGGAAGGCGAGGTGGCAGAAGTTAGGTTCTTAACTTTTAATTATAAAACTATTGGTAAGAATAATTAATTCAAGGCCAATGAACTACTAGCTGTTGCACACTCTAAAATGGAATTCCATTATGAAAAAAGAGCCATAGTCTACTTTCGTGGCATTTCACGTTCTGCTCTGACTTTAACTTTTTAAACCACTTCATGTTGGATTCACATGTGACTCCAGGACAGCACTTTTGTTTTGTTTTGTTTTGTAACTTTAATGTTCATTAATTTTTTTCTGATTTGAAAGGAATTTCTACTTAGAATCCTTTCTCTGAAACTCAGCTAGGATTAATTCGTTTTTGTTATAGAAAGTTTCAAGCAAATATAAAAGTAGAGAGGATGGTATAATGAATTGCCAAGTATCCATCACCTGACCTCCATAATCATTAACTCGTTATCTGTATCCACCTGCCTCCCTATCTCTCTGAAACAAATTCAAGACATCATTTCACTTGTAAAGATTTTAGTATACGTCACTAACGTAAGGACTTTTAAAGAGAAGCATCACCACAATGCAATTATCATATTTAAATAATTCCATAATATGGAGATTCAGTCACTATTCATATTTCCCATTTTCTTAATTTTTTCTTTTTTTTTAATAGTTAGCTTGATTTGTAATCCAAATAATATCTACACATAGCAACTGGTTGATATCACTTAAGACTCTTCTAATCTAAAAATTCTCCTTCTGTCCTTTTTCTCTTGCAATTTAGTTGAAGAAGCCAGGTGGTTTGTCCTGGTTTCCCATAGTCTCAATTTTGCTGATTACATCCCCATGGCTTCCTTTAACAGGTTCCCCGGCCCCCTGCACTCTTTGTGGTTTAGCAGAGGCTTAACAGACTTAGGTTCCCTAATGTGGCATGAATACATCATAGGTTATATAATATTTCCATCAGGAAGCAAATGATGTCTTCTCGTCTCTCTCTTGTGATATTAACAACCACTGGTAATTTTACCTAACCCTATTAATCCATTAGGGGTACCAAAATGGTGATATTTCTAATTCAACTATTCCTTCTTCATTTATTAGCCAGACTCTTTCCAGAAAAGGAACTTCCTTATATTAACTATCTCTTTCCCTGCAGTTTGTGGTTTGTGTGGGAAAGGCAGGATAAATGCTTCATTCTTTGTCTTAATTTTCAAAAAAATGCGTTGCTTCTCTAGTATCCCGCAAAGGCCACCAGTTTGGGTTTGTAGTGTCACTGTGAATTCATTAACATAAATATTTAATGAGTTTCAGTTGTTTTCAGTTAATTATCTTTACTGACGCTCAAATGATCCCATCTTTGGCCAGCAGGAGCCTCTTGAGTATTTATGACCTGACCTACAGCCTCCGGGTAGCTTCCTTGTTTTCTGGTGCGACAAGTTGTTCCAGACTATCTTGTACATTTCCTGCCCACTGCCCTTCTTCACGGAGCACTGATTCCTTCTGGTCAGAAGCAGTAGTTAGCAATGTTCTCGCTATTAGGTTAATCATTATTTCTAGGCCTTTTCAACAGACTGAGTTAGGAATAGGTGTTTTTTAAAGATGAAATACATCCTTAGTTCAAACTTGCAGTTCGGATTCAGGACTACAACATTTTTAATTAGCCTCATTGTTACTCTATATCTTCTTTCTCCGAGCAATTCCAGCTCTCAATGACACTCACATAAATACCCATTTGCTTTATCCCACAATACACTCAATAATTTCAGAATAACAATATCAACGATACCATGTATGCTATCATTCTTGAAAACAGTTAAGGACGTATTTGCTGTATTTTGTCCACAGTATATTTTTAAATTAGATTGGAAGTTCCTCTGTGTGGTTATACCACAAACTGGACACTCAAACAGGCTCTTGGTTTCATTTTGATTTTAATTTTTGGAGACTGCTTTTGTAAACTTTAATTTTGTTTTATAATTATGTAAAATTTGTACATGGTTTCAAAGTCAACTCTACTAGGAAATGCATATTCAAAGAAGTCTAGCTTCTATTCCTTTCCATTCTAGTGTATTCCCTCCCTTCTTCTATCAGTAACCAATTTTTAATCTCACAGTCTGTCCTTTTTGTTTAAACATTCACATTTAAATATAGGCATCTCTTTCCCTATTCCTCAACACAAACAAGCTATGCCCGTGATTCTCAAACTTGACTGTGCATCAGAATCACCTGGAGGACTTGGTAAAACACAGATTACTGGGTGGCACCCAGAGTTTCTGATTTAGTAAATCTAGGGTGGGGCCCGAGAACCGGCATTCTAACAAGTTCCCAGATGATGTTGAAGTTGCTGGTCCAGGGACCACATTTTGAGAACCACAGTGCTATACACACTTGTATCCACCCACCCCCGCCAAGTAGTACACAGATATTCTTTATTTGCTTCCACTGCTTCATAGTACTCCATTATGTGCATATACCATGGTTTATTCAACCAGCTTCCTGTTTATAGACATTTGTGCTGTTTCTATGCATTGTATATTTCCATACATATATTTCCATACATATGCACATATATAAAATATATTTCTATTTATTGTATATATCTATAAATTATAACAATAATTACTGCAAAGAATAGCATCACACTTACTGGATTTTTGTCACTGTATCTTTGGAATAGATTTCTGGAAGTAGGACTGCTGGCTTAAAGGGTGGATTCAGACACAGTTTTGCTAGATCTAGCAAAATTCCCCTCCACAGGGCCTGTGCCATTTTGCTTTCCCACAATTAAGGGAGTGCCTGATCCCCCGTGGCCTTGCCAACTTAGCATGCTGCCAAAGTTTCAAGCACAGTCCTTTAAGAAAATCTAAATTAGTTGCCAACATCTAAAAGTTAGAAAATAAAAATATCTCGATTTCTAGATTCTTCCTGAAAAAGTATAAGATCCAGTGGCCCCGGGCCTAGAGTTTCACGTGATGCTTATGTCCCCACGACGTAAGTACCTCAATGGCTCTAGCCTCCACCTGGGCCCGTTCATGCCTGTGTTCACCTGGTTACTCCTGAAGGCACTGGGTGTCCAGCCCTGGCTCCATGGATAAGAAAGGCAAATGGTTTGCCCAAGGTCTTCTAGCAAATTGATGTCGGCCTGGAGCCTTTCTCTGGGTTTGTCACGTGCTCTCAAAGTTTCTTACTTATTTTTCCTGCCTCCTGCTACACTCAACCTGGGACTGAGTAACATCAGGCTGACTTTCCTGAGATTTAGGGACCTTTAGGATCATTTCGAATACCAAACTTAAAAACAATGGCCTCAATGAAAAAAAAGTCTAAATTACGTCATATATGTTACCTACCTACACCTGTGCCTCATAAAGCCTCAAGATTTCTGCACTATTGAATTAATGTGCATTTTGTGACATCATGGCTCAATTATTAAATTAAAGGGTTTTGATTTAAATCAGCTATATCCTCTTAATATAGAATCAAATGCACATTTGATCTTAGATTTATAAACTCTGTGGACAATTCAAAGATGGTTTTACACAAAAACCAATAGCCCCAGTTACTTAATCCTTAAAGACCTATTACTTATTATATATGCTGCCCCAAATCTTTTTCACAAGTATTTAGGGAAAAAGAAGGCAATGATAAAGAAATTATACAAAAGTAGATATTTTCTTCTGGTTATTCAACTCTTTCAAACTGTAATTAGAGATGATGTCTAAATGAGACATTTAATTATGATGGAACCAAAAGATAAGATAGTCAGGGCTGGCAAGTGAGCACACAGGGCACTCAAATATTGATTGAATGAATAGCCAGAGTAAAGAAATCTGTATGATTTGAGGGTTTCTTCTGCTACAGGGTCCATCTCTCTCTCTCTCTCTCTCTCTTTCACACACTCACGCACACACACGCGTGTGCGCACACACACACACACACACTCTTTGATTTCTGGGATCACTGGAGACTATGAGAAAGGCTTAATATGTAAATAGCACATGGGTAAGGTAAGATGGACTCGAATTTACTCCAGTTATAAGAATATCTGATTTCAGTCCTTTCTTGAGGATAATCTCAATAAGTGGGTGCGGGGTGTATGTGTGCGTGTGCGCGCACACGTGCATGCCTGGGCACTGAAGGAAAAGAGGTACCAATGGGAATGGGGGCCATGCATGGAGGGAGAGCAGGAGGTTAAAGGGAGGTTAGGTCTCTGAAGACAAACTTTGTCTGCCTCCTAAATAGGGCAGCCCCGCTGACAGTCACGACAAGGGATGGAAATGAGGGTGAAGTTTGTGAAGGCAGGAAGCCCGGGAAACCTGTTCCAGGTGCTTCGAGAATCCTAAAAGCAGACAAAGGCTCAGCAGGGAGACAGCTTGGCCTGCCCATCAGGGAACTCATATTTCTGCCTCTCCAGAGGACGGGCTCTGCAGCTCCTATTTCTTTATGAGCACAGCAGGTGAGAAGCGCTGGATTCTCTTTTAGTCAGGAAAGATTTCTGTAACCTACACATCCCACAAAAGCAAGGTCAAAGCCGACGCTCTGTGTAAGCCCCAATGATTCAGATAAAAGCAGAAGTCAACCATCAGCTTTACCGCTCTCATTAATGGCCTCTCAATTAAAGCAATTTTCCATTCCTCCCCAGAGTTGAACAGCTGGCTGTGCTTCAGAAAACGTACCATCTTCTAAATTTCAGGGTGCTGAGTGAAAAGCAGGTTGCGCCAGAACCAAACACCCCCTCACAATTCTCTGCTTACATGGGAAAGTGTAGCGTGCTCAAGTCGGTCTTCTAATTAAACTTGGCAATATTACAATGAAAAATAAGATTTGGGAGTTGGCATCGTAGCACATAAACAAACTTTTATGTGAATAATGAAGCCAGGGCTAAGCATATGCTGGACCGGCTTTAATCAGCTTGTGATTACAGTTACTAGTAAAAGCCCAGACATTTCCGAAATCTTCTCTGTTGTTTATGTGCTGTGGTTATTTTAACATATCTGCTTTGATACACGCAGCATATCTTTTTACCCATTTCTCCCTCTTTCTTTTTCCTTCTCTTTTTCAAATTCCTACCCTTTGGGAGAATTAATTATGACACGAGAATCTTGTGAAAAGAACTGTGTGCGTAAGCACGCGAGCACAAACATTTTACATGTTAACACACCCACACACCAAGTCAGGAGGGTTTTACCTACAAGCGCATCAACTGCCTTGAAGGAACCACGCTTCAGTAAAACCCAGGGTGTTATGTTTGGCTATAAAACCAGTGGATGGATCTGCAGCCATCAGAAATGGCGCTGTGGCTCCAGTCCAGAGCCAGGTCAGGCTGGGAGGACACATCACACAGTTCACGTTGGACTCTGGGGCTCTAAACGAGGTGCTAATTCTCGGTGGATCCCAAAGCACCATCATGAACTTTGCTTAAACCTTTGTACACTGGAAACCACAACGGCAGAAATCACGCGAAGTTTTGCTGCAAAAAAATTTCTGCTAGAGGTTTTCCAAGCAAAAGCGGTTGAATTTTTAAGAGAAACTTCAGATAGAATTCTATATCTAGTCGGGAGCATGTCCAGAACTTAATGTGGTAAAGGATGAACTTGTATGTTTCAGAACTCTACCTCCTATCTGGGTACAGAGCACGAACTGACTGTCATTTAAGCTTTAAAAGTGAAATCCTTTCCTTGTATTTTTCTAAAGCATCAGTACAACTGAAGTAAAATATAAGAAAATGAGAGTGCATTTTCTAAAAATTTCTTTCGTCATTTTTTTGCTGAGGAAGATTTGCTCTGAGCTAATGTCTGCTTTTTGTATGTGAGCTGCTGCCACAGCACGGCCACTGACAGACGAGTGGTGTAGGTCCACACCCTGGAACTGAACCTGGGCCTCTGAACTTAACCACTAGGCCACCAGAACTGACTCAAGAGTGCATTTTTAAGATATAGGAGGTTAATTCTATTTCTCTTTATCCCCCAAATGATAATTATGCAGCCTAGGCTAGTGCCACATATATCATATATAAAATATTTAGATTCTAATAGATTTTTCTAACTGGTCTAGTGGTATTTTATACATATTTATTTTTCTAACGTTTTTCTATTCGTGATTCTCCTCCCCTCAAGCTGAAAGTTTTTCCTAGGAAAGATGAGTAACACCATTCAGTTACTGTGCAAGTTGTAGGACAAATACCAAGTTAGCATTTCCTAACTGACTGGGGACAGTTAACAGTACATTTCTTTTCCTTGCTGGTGAAAAAAAAACCCGAGTGAGAGAGATTAGTGGCTAACTTCATCCAACATGGAACAAACCAGTCATTTTAACTTTAAAATGAAAACAATTTGTACTCTATCTGTCTTAGCTGGCCCGGAGAAATGAACCGTGCTTACCTTGGCCACGAAACATTCTGCGATGGCCACAGGATCGTTTTCACAGTTTTCCAAATCTTGCAGAAGTTCACTAATAAAAAAATAATAGCCAGAAAGTATTAGATTGTGGTCTGATGGTTGAGGACGTTTTGTATAACTTAGAAGTTTAAATATTTATATGGCATTTACAAGGAATCATATTTAATCAGATAACTAAGGATCCGGTGTCACTATATCCAAAGCTTAGATAAGGGATTTCCCCCAGGTTTCGGCGGAGCAGACGTTTAAACACAGGTCTGAACTGTAAATCTCCCACCCAGAGAAATCCCTGACATTTAAGTCTTCTAGATGTTTGTCATCGTCTGCAGGCATCCTCACTCACATTCATTCACTCATCAAGTGGCTGTCGAGGTACCAGCTACTGTACAAGGCGCAAAGAACAGACACATCAGTAAGCAAAAGGAGATGTGGTCCCTGGTCTCTTGGAGCTGGGAATCCATTGGAAGAGTCAGACATTCACTGGAAAATCACACTAACAAATACCAAATTATAGACAACAAAAGTGCTCTAAAGGAAAGATATTCAGCGAGAGAAAACTTTTCTCAGATGTAAATCTACATTATTATTATTATTTTTTAAAACAAGTACATTTTCCCCCCCCGTTTTCCTCCCCAAAGCCCCCTGGTACATAGTTGTGTATTCTTAGTTGTAGGTCCTTCTAGTTGTGGCGTGTGGGACGCCACCTCAGCTTGGCTTGATGAGCAGTGCCATGTCCGTGGCCAGGATTCGAACCAACGAAACACTGGGCTGCCTGCAGCGGAGCGCACGAACTTAACCACTCGGCCACAGGGCTGGCCCCTACATTATTTTTTTTATTTTTATTTTTTTATTGAGTTAATGATAGGTTACAATCTTGTGTGATTTCAGTTGTACATTAATGTTTGTCATTCGTGTTGTAGGTGCACCTTTTCACCCTTTGTGCCCACCCCCCACCCCACCTTTCCCCTGGTAGCCACTAATCTGTTCTCTTTGTCCATATTTTTAAATTCCTGATATGAGTGGAGTCATACCGAGATTATCCTTCTCTAACTGGCTTATTTCACTTAACGTAATTCCCTCAAGGTCCATCCATGTTGTTGCAAATGGGACGATTTTGTTCTTTTTTACGGCTGAGTGGTATTCCATTGTATATATATATACCACAACTTCTTTATCCATTCATCTGTTGATGGGCACTTAGGTTGCTTCCATGCCTTGGCTATTGTAAATAATGCTGCAATGAACATTGGGGTGCATAGGACTTTCAGAATTGCAGACTTCAAGCTCTTTGGATATATACCCAGTAGTGGAATGGCTGGATCGTTTGGTAGTTCTATTTTTAATTTTTTGAGGAATCTCCATACTGTTTTCCATAGTGGCTGCACCAGTTTGCATTCCCACCAGCAGTGTATGAGGGTTCCATTCTCTCCACAACCTCTCCAACATTTTTTACTATTAGATTTAGATATTTTTGTCATTCTAACGGGTGTAAGGTGATATCTTAGCGTAGTTTTGATTTGCATTTCCCTGATGATCAGCGATGATGAGCATCTTTTCATGTGCCTATTGGCCATCCGTATATCTTCTTTGGAGAAATGTCTGTTCATGTCTCCAGCCCATTTTTTGATTGGGTTGTTTGATTTTTTGTTGTTGAGTTGTGAGAGTTCTTTATATATTATGGATATTAAGCCTTTGTCAGATATATGACTTCAAATATTTTTTCCCAGTTAGTGGGTTGTTTTTTTGTTTCAATCCTGTTTTCATTTGCCTTGAAGAAGCTCTTTAGTCTGATGAAGTCCCATTTGTTTATTCTTTCTATTGTTTCCCTTCTCTGAGAAGACATGGTGTCCGAAAAGGTTCCTTTTAATACTGATGTCAAAGAGTGTACTGCCTACATTTTCTTCTAGAAGCCTTATGGTTTCAGGTCTCACCTTTAGGTCTTTGATCCATTTTTAGTTAATTTTGGTGAATGGTGAAGAAGAATGGTCAATTTTCTTTCTTTTACATATGGCTTTCCAGTTTTCCCAGCACCATTTATTGAAAAGACTTTCTTTTCTCCATTGCATGCCCTCAGCTCCTTTGTCGAAGATAAGCTGTCCATAGATTGGGGTTTTATTTCTGGGCTTTCAATTCTGTTCCATGGATCTGTGCACCTGTTTTTATACCAGTACCATGCTGTTTTGATTACTGTAGCTTTGTAGTAAGTTTTGAAGTCAGGGATTGTGATACCTCCCGTTTTGTTCTTTTTTTCTCAGGATTGCTTTAGCAATTCGGGGTCTTTTGTTGCCCCATATGAATTTTAGGATTCTTTGTTCTAATTCTGTAAAGAATGTCATTGGGATTCTGATTGGGATAGCGTTGAATCTGTAGATTGCTTTAGGTAGAACGGACATTTTAACTATGTTTATTCTTCCAATCCATGTGCATGGAATGTCTTTCCATCTCCTTATGTCGTCATCCAATTCTCTCAGAAAGGCCTTGTAATTTTCATTATATAGGTCCTTCACTTCCTTAGTTAAATTTACCCCAAGGTATTTTATTCTTTTTGTTGCGATTGTGAATGGTATTGTGTTCTTGAGTTCTTTTTCTGTTAGTTCATTGTTAGAATATAGAAACGCTACTGATTTATGCAAATTGATTTTATACCCTGCAACTTTGCTGTAGTTGTTGATTACTTCTAAGAGTTTTCCAATGGATTCTTATGGGTTTGCTATATATAAGATCATGTCGTCTGCAAACAGCGAGAGTTTCACTTCTTCCCTCCCTATTTGGATTCCTTTTATTCCTTTATCTTGCCTGATTGCTCTGGTCAGGACCTCCAGTACTATGTTAAATAAGAGTGGTGATAGAGGGCATCCTTGTCTCGTTCCTGTTTTCAGGGGAATGGCACTCAGTTTTTGCCCATTGAGTATGATGTTGGTTGTGGGCTTGTCATATATGGCCTTTATTATGTTGAAGTAGTTTCCTTCTGTGCCCATTTTGTTCAGAGTTTTTATCATAAATGGCTGTTGGATCTTGTCAAATGCCTTCTCTGCATCTATTGAGATGATCACGTGGTTTTTATTCCTCAGTTTGTTGATGTGGTGTATCACGTTGATTGATTTGCGGATGTTGAACCATCCCTGTGTCCCTGGTATGAATCCCATTTGATCATGATGTATGATCCTTTTGATGAATTGCTGAATTCTGGTGGCCAAAATTTTGTTTAGAATTTTTGCATCTATGTTCATCAGTGATATTGGCCTGTAGCTCTCTTTTTTCGTGGCGTCCTTGTCTGGCTTTGGTATCAGCGTGATGTTGGCCTCATAGAATGTGTTAGGAAGTGTTCCATCCTCCCTACATTATTTTTTAATGGTTCATTATTTTAAGTAACCCGTAATATTGCACTGTGTGGATGTACTATACTTTAACTAATTTAACCATGTACTATAATTTAATCTCCCACTATTGGATAAAGTTCTATAAGTGGAGTTTCTGGGTCAAAGGGCATCGCAGGGTAAATAATGCATTTTCAAATTGCACTCCATATAAGATGTATTAATACATATTTTACTATGTTGTGTTAATTGTAATTCTCTGTGTATTACATATTTAATAAAATGTTAAATAGTTCTACAGGAATTATGATAAAAACAAGCAATTTCTTGCTTTCTGTTTCCCATTGTTGACTGCCATTCTCCAGAAGCATTTTCCACTCTTTCGCTGTTTCTGCTGTATGTGTCCATATTTCTAACCAGGCTGATACTGCATTTTTGTTATTTCTCAGTTTTAGATATTATTTACTTCTTCCTCCTCCCATCTTCTCAACAAGTTCTGTTATGAAATTTGATTAGATTAAAAGTCAGAGCTTGCATTTTTAAGACTATGTAAACATTCTCCGCCGAGCCGTGGAGTATACCATAATTACATTTCCTTCCTTGTACAACCATGTTCCCTGGAGTCAAAATTGTCTCATTTTTTTGCCTTGTTTTCAAAGGACACACCACTAACTTACCCTCGAATTTTGTGCCAGAAGGATAACTCTCGTCTCACTGTGTTCAAACCTCAGATCATCTATTGGTTGCACTTCTTTCTTGGTGACCTCCCTCATGGAGCCCTCTGTCCTCCTGCTGCCACCTGAACAGGTTGCTCCCAGGCTGCTGTGTTCTCTCTTCAACACCATCCTGACAATGACCTTCACCTAGCCTCTGTGTTGGATGCCTTGTTTCTTAGACACCATTTCAGATGTATTCCTTCCTTTGGGCAATTACACTGCCAGTAGCTGTGTGTAAGCGTAATAGTAAATTTTCTGAAACTCTTCCTGTTTCAGAATGTTCTCCCTTCATGCTTGGCTGATAAAGTTCATGGATATAGAATTCTTGGTTGGAAGTCATTTTCTCTGAGTATTCAGGAACTATCTGTTGCCTGATGAATTCTGATGCTGCTGAGAAGTCCAATACCATTCTGATCCATGATCCAGGTTCCATATGACCTGTTTTTCCATTCTGGAAGCTTTGAGAGTTTCCTCTTTGTTCACATAATTCTGGAATTCTGTAATGGCTGGCTTTGGGATGGGTCTTTTCTCATGTGTGAGCCAATGTGAACATTTGGGAAACATTTTTGAGCATCAGTTCTCAAAATGATCCCTGAGATCCTGGGATTCCTTTCCCTAAAGGTCCATAACGTCACCATTTTCCTAAAAATACTTAGACATTTGGATTTTTTTACTTTCATTCTCTCATGAGAGTACAGTGGACTTTTCCAGAGGCTACATGACCTGTGATATCATAACCAATGGCGAGCAGAAGCAGCCATGAGAATCCAGCTGTTTTCTAGTAAGTCAGACAGTAGAGATTTGTAAAAACATAAAACAATTCCAACACACAAAAAAGATTAGTGAGAAGAGTAGTAAAATTATTTTTCTAAAAATTTGCGGGTTTATTATTATTGAATAAATTGATATTTCAACAATTTCTCAGTTTTAATTTCTATCATGGTAAACAAAACATCATTGGGGTCCTTAGTAATTTTTAAGCGTGTAAGAGATCCTGGGACCAAAAAGCGTAAGAACCT